TACAATGCAGAGACACAGATGTTGTTGTGCTCGCTTTGTGCCCACCCAACCTACGATCACCTGCCGCAAGAGCATGGCTCTGGTGATCCCTTCAGGACCCTACGACCGTGGAGTCATCCTACGAGTCGGTATATACCGGTTTTTAAGCTAACATGATTTTTAAAATTAAAACAGGTTTAATGAAATTAATTCAATACTTAAAGCTAACAAAGATAAATGTAAGCTAAAATTACAATGTATAAAATTGAGGAGGTGCATAGATGTACATATATGTGTTTAAAAATTGTGCACAAAATTCAAAAGAAATAATTTTTCTTAAAAGTTTAAATCAAATTTAAATTGTATTATTAAATGTTCGTTTACTTCATGTTTTCTCTTTTCTATTAACTATTAAAAATAAATTTACTTCATGTCTTTAGTTCATTTCAATTTCAATTTCAATTGTTGCATTAGCTTATGGAGATTTTATTTTTGTATATTTTAAATTAAATCATTTTTAAATGGTTTAAGTTTTCAAGTATTTTCATTTTTTTTTCAATTGCATGTTTTCATTCGAATGGCTTTTTTTTTTAGACTCACTCAATTTTCCATCGGCGAAGATCGATCTCCCTCGAAGCTTTTCTCTGGAAAAAAGGGGTTAAAGTCCGAATGGCCCTATTTTCTTATATTATTATTCTTTTTGCTATGCAACAATGGAACTTAATTTGAAGTAAAAAAATAAAGGTGTAAAAATTAAATAAAAAACTAAATTAATAATAAATTAAATTAAAATATTGGAAATTCAGCATAAATTTTCATTATTCGGCTTCATTAAATTCACGGCTATATGCAAGCAGATCGAGAGCATAATTCGAGCATAAGTTTTTAAATTCAAAGGCCAATATTAACAAATGTTTTGGGCCATTAATCACATTGTCTCTGTTAGAGCAAATTGTTCGCACAAAATTCAGAAGAAAAAGTTACCAAAATGGGCTTTAAGGGTAAACCCTATTTAAAATTATTCTTCACTTGCATTAGGAGGAGGTTAGAACACAGGGGTCAGGTCAAGGTTAACCCGCGAGGTTAGCAAAATTTTCACAAAAAAAGAATTAATCGCTTTTCCCGACGCGAAGCTGGCCAAGAGATGAGTTGCGCATCCGCGCTGTTGGCCTGATTTTTCCTGGGGATCGGCTCCTCCTGCGCTGGTTGTAGCTTCTCTACTTCATCCCCTCAGGTTAGGGGTACCCCTTGCCTAGGGACTTGATCTGTAGGGCCCAATCTGTAAATTTTTCCATTCAAACAGTAAGCACTGCCTTTAACAAACACTCTATTTTCATAATTACCCGCTGGCTTGAGCCCTGGTAACAAAATTAAGGGATTTTCCCTTGGCGAAAGGTCTTGTCGACCTTTGGCCCTGGCCGTGCGTCGACGCTGCTTTGCTGCCTCCAATTTTCTAGTTTTCCTAACCTGGGCAACAAAAAGGTTACTCACTGTGCCCCACAAATTTGGCACTTCTCTACTCACTTTTTCTGCGAAGCTTTCAGCGGCCACTTCAACACTTGGTTTACGCGATTCACTGCCACTGTCTGATTTATTGATAATTACGAGCACCCGACACGTCTATGCTCTTCTAGACCTTGATTTAAAAAGACCTCCCACGGAAACGGAAAGTCTGCTTGAAAAAATTTCCTAATTGGCAAATGCGCTCTTCTTCGTCTTCAGAGCAAATGTAAATTCTCTGTTAAATATGCCAAAACGCGTTTTAATTAAATGCAGCTCTACATTACGGCACGTGCAAGCTTGCTCAAAGCTTTGTTACGTAGTCGCTTGACCACCTTTACGTGATCGCCAAAACTGGCGAAGCTAGGCTTAGGCTTCACATAAAGCGTAGCATCCTTCTAGGCTGATTTCCGTGGCAGGGTCTTCAGTCGCCACTACATAATGTTTTACGCTTCTGACTGAATTTTGAATACTTATTTCTGCAAATTACTGAAAATTTCGTATTTTTCCAAGTTGTATTAATTTTATATAACTAATTACTTAAATTAGAGCATAGAGTTGAGTATATTTGAACTGCCTTTAAATATAAGCTTATAGTCTTATAGTTTGGCTCTTCTTCTGTGGGTTTGCTTAGAATTTGTATAATATTTTCTGTCTCTGTACATTACTTTTTATAAAATTACTTTTTTTTTTTTTTCTCTGTACATTAGAAGTTGTCTGTCTGTAACATATACTCTCCGCTTATTTTCTGGTGTCGTGTGTGTCTGTGTCACCTGACAAATGCCGAAACGTGACACTTGCCAAGAAATTAGATAAGTTAAAAGTTCGTTGTCTTGGCCAAAGTTGAGCTTAGAGTGGCAACTTCTAGGATTCCCTTACTCTGTCTCTCTCTATCTCCTTTCTCCCCTTCTCTCCCTCTCTTTCTGTATATCTTTCCTGTGCCTGAGAAATATTGCCTACTTTCCAGGGCAGCAGCTTAAAGTGCTTAAAATGTCCGCAATGCAATCGCAAAAATTTGATAAGAGAAATTGTTGCGCTAAACGCTCTCACTTCTTTCTCTTCCTCTATTTATATATATATATATATATATATATATATATATCTGATATATAAGGAGATATATATACACATATATATGTACTCCTACTGCTGCTGATGATGATGATGAGTTGGAGCAGTAAAAACTTTGGCATCCCAAAGAAAATGTAATTAAATGCTGATGATGCTGCTGCTGCTCTGCTGCTGCTGTGGCAAGGGAAAAGTGTGCGGAAAAGTGGAGAAAAGCCGGCAAAAGCGTCACTGAACAGCAACTGGGGAGGCTTGAACAGCAAACTGGGCGACATTGTCGTCTTGGGAATGCCGCCGGGAATGTTGGGGCATAGGGACGTTTTGCGGGGCGGCTGCCAAACTTGGGTCAACCAGTGGCCCAAAGGTTGGTAGCTGTGCTGCCAGTTACTCAATTTCTTAATTCACGCAACCCGAAACGTGTTGATGGTGTGTGTGCACTGACAGAAAATAGAATATCCAGACGGGAATTAAAATGAGATCTTAGTATGATTTACTAAGTTTTATAGATTTTTTAAAGTTTGAGAAATATTTATTTATATATTTATCTAAAGATATCAAATAGCTAACTCTAGCAGCTTAGGCCTTCGGTAAAAATTTGGGAAAGTGAGTTAAATATAGTAAATATTCACATAAAAATAAATGTAATAAACAGTTAGAGGCAACTAAGCTTAACAAATTTATAAAGAAACTAAAAAGAAGAGAATTCATTTAATAGAAACCTCTTAGATCTAGAACTCCTTCCTCGCAATACTTTAAAGTCTAATAAAAATAAAGAAAGCAGAGATATTCTTAAGACTGTAGCTTTATCACAAGCTTAGTTTTTATTTTATATACTCGAATTAAAACACTTTAATGTAATTACTAAAAAGGAACTCATTCACAACTCTTATAAGACATTATTTCTTGTATTAAGCCATACAAATATATTTTCCGTGTGGAACACTATGCATCAGTGAAGAGGGGGTGTCGTGGTGGTGTTACTGAGGTGAAAAGGGGTGAATGGAAGTTGGTGGGCTAATGGGAAACGGGAAGGTGAGCCAACAGGCCAGGCATTAAAACGGCCCGAGCGTCCCATTTCAATTAGTGTGCATTACAAATGAAGTTTGGGAATAGCGCAAGCAGACGACGACTACGACTACCATGCCGCCCATGGCACCCAAGGGGGGCTCAAGCAACAGAGACAGAGTAAGAGTGAGAAAGAGAAACAGAGAGAGAGAGAAAGGGAGAAAGGGCAACGGAGGCAATCAGTTTGAACTCCGGAATTAATAACTATTTGGCCAAGCTTTTGGCTAAACTTGATTGAAAATGCAGAAGCTTCAACGGGGAGGGGTTAAAACTTAGCACAGAGACATCATCTTGGCATGAGATATTAAAGACGGAGATGGCTAGATATATATAAATATATATAGTTATGTGGCTCTTGGCCAAAAACGTTTATACTGTGGCTATTAAAATTTCATAAATTATATATATTTGCTGTGTTTCCTCTGGATGGCAACTTGAAAGCTAGAGTGATGGCATGTTCTTAATGCCTGGCTAATGAGTAAAATTCTTAGGCTACTTGTTTACCATTTGAAAGCGATTAAATATGGATTTTAGTAGGAAATTTAATTGAATTTCTATCAAAAATATGTTGGAAACTATTTTAAATTAGGTATTGATCCATCTTTTAATGTTTTGAATTGCGGAATTTCAGCTTGAATTACAAGTTTTGAATATTTGTTTAACATTGTCAATGTTACCTAAGAAAATTCAGCTCTTGCACTTCTTTAAAGTCCTTCTGGCAGCTCCAACCATTCTTTAAAGCCCATCTGGCAGCTCCTTCAATTCTTCAAAACCCATCTGGCAACTTTAACTTTTTTTAGAAGCCATCTGGCCGCACTTAGCCCTTCTTGACCTTCCCTTTTTAAATTGGAATTCCATTCGCGTCTGGCAATGACAGTGCTAGATCAAATGCAATACAGCGTATGGCCTTGCAGAGACCACGCCCACTCTTCCGACCCCTAACCACCCGCCGCCGCTGCCCCCTCTTAGCGTTACGCCCCTCACGGCTCTGTGAGGAGCTCGTGTCCTTGCCACTTGGCTGAGCGCGAGGACTTTGCATTCGGTTTTCGCATCTGCATCAGCTGCATTTGCATTTAGCATTTAGGATTTGCATTTGGGTTTTGGCCACGCTTGCCGCCACCTGAGCTAAAACGGGAACTTGATTGTTGCCACAAACACGAAGGCTGTCAGCACCATTTGCGCATATCCTTTAGGCCTTCTCCACACTCAAACATACACACATTTCCGGCCATTCCGCACTTAATGGCTTGGACATGCGGCTTATATTATGGCCTTAGACTTGCATTTCGAAACATGAAATAAATTTAAGAACATAGGCTTAGAGATAATTAAGGAATGATTTTGATAGTGAATTTATATTTAATTTAATTTTCATATTCAATTCACAGATCTGCTCATCGAGATGCTGGGCGTGCTGGCCAGCTACAGCATAACGGTGAAGGAGCTGAAGCTGCTCTTTGGCACAATGAAGGCCACCAATGGCAAGTGGCCACGGCACTCGGCCAAGCTCCTGAATGTCCTGCGGCAGATGCCACATCGCAACGGGCCGGATGTCTTCTTTAGCTTTCCGGGACGCAAGGGATCGGTAAGTGGCAACTAATATAGAAATGTTAAGATACATGCTAGATATCCTTTGTAGAGGAATTTTACACCAATGATTTTCAACAACTATTCCAACAAATAGCAAAATTATTTAAAATGTATTTTCTTTTGCAATATTTTGTAATATTTTCCATTCAAAATCCATAGAACTCCCTACATTTGTCTCCTTTTTTCATCTCTTATCTCTTTATGAAATGCCTATTTCCTGTTCAAACTAAATACTAAATATGGAATATGCGCTATCTAGCTGATGTGTTATATATATTTTTTTTTAATTGAATTCTAGTTTAGGCCAGGCAATATCTTTTGTGTCGGTTGCATTTTTTATTGAATGCAACTGGCAGGAACAAAGGCCCATAGGCACACAAACACTCATGCGTTTATATATTTGTACTATGGCTAGAATGAGGTCTCCAGGGGTGTACCTAACGTACATAGCGTCCCATGGACATTTCCGGGGGCTTTTATTTTATTGCGTCGCACTTAAAATGAATTCGAAATGTGGATGTCCTGCTGTCCCAGAGTGTGTGTGTATGTGTATATTTGTGCTTGACCAGTCCACTTTATCGATGTGTCCATCGTCCCATAAACGCATAAAAAATGCCATAAAGTGAATTGGAAGTCAAATGCGAACATGGTCCAATAAAGAGTCGCGCTATCGCGGAGAAGGTGGAACCCAGCATCCCTCTCTCAATAAAAAAAAGAATACAGCATCCTCCTATCCATCCATGGAATAACCTTCATATCCTCACATCCTCTCATCTAACGTTTGCCATCATCATCATCATCGTCGCATTCCCTCTTTTGTGCCGACTTTTCACGCATTTGGCCTTTTTTAATTTTCGTTTAGCCAGCTTTTAGGCGACACTATTTCCCCCTCACAGCAGGAAAACTCATCCATCCATTGCCCATTTAACCGCCGATCAGCGATCCACAAGCACGCCTAATGTCATTGATGGTGCTGATTGCAACAGGACGGGATTCGATTCGAATAATGAGATTTTCGGAAAGCCAAAACCCAAAATCACCAGGGCACCATTTCAGTTTTCTCCATTTCCCCAAATTTCTCTCCCTCGACTTTGCTGTCACAGGAATGAAGGAAGACGAAGGCACAGCAAAAAAAGAAAGAGCATTCTGAGAGACTTTTTTAATTCAACCAACAGATAATATTAAAATTTAAACAATATATAAAATATAAGACAAAAGAAAATCATTTAATTGAGTGTAGTTCTTAAATTATTATTTGTTGGAGTAATAGTTAAGAGCTGTTGGTGTAAATTTGAAATAGTTTTTAAAAGTCAGTGGAGTAAATTTATTCCAACATATTCTTAGACCCAAATTTAGATTGTTAATTGTTTATATTTTGATTGGTTTTTCTTCTGAGAACAATATACGTAATATTTTTCCCAGTGTTCGTTGAAAATCGAAAACTGTTGGAGAAAAAGTGGGCAAAATGGAGGCGTGACATGGCGGGACCAGTGGCTGCCGCCTGTGGCAGTGGTGCAAAGTTGCTGCAACCGCAGCAAAACTCTCTCTCTAACAGTGTCAGCCTTTGTCACGTCCGCCTGGCCTTAACCCATTTAGCCGGTTTTTCCTCGGGTTTCTCGGGTGCTGCTCGCAAGTGGCATTGCCACCACGACCACCCGCCCCCTAGTTAACCCCCATTCCAACCCTCACCCCCTTCAAGGATGGCAGACCGCAGGATAAGTGCAAAGTAAATGAAATTTGATCTTTGTGAGAGAGCGTGAGAGGGTCAAAGTTCAAGAGATAAATAGATGATGAAATAACGAAGCAAATAATAAATATAAATAAATCATGGAAAAGCAAATCATTCTTGATTAAATTATGGCCATTAATCAACGAAATAGAGCATCATATAATTTGTTTATTAATGAAATGCAATTAATCAAATAAAAGCACACCAAAATCTACACAAAAACTAAATAAATGGCAATTAATAAGACTTAAAATATAGCTTCAAGGCTCAAGTGGTTAATTAAAGTCAATAAAATAATTACAAAGACAAATTATAAATGACATTGTGACAATAAAATGCCAAAATATTGACTTAAATTTACATTTTAAATGCTCATGCCCCATAAAGATAACTACCTTTGCCTTTTGTCTGGTCCATCAAATGCATAAATAGTTATTATCTGATTGAAGATGATTTACCTGAGATGCCTCAAGCGGATAATGTCTTATGCATTTCCATACAAATAATATGTATGCATTGTCACACATTTTCCCACCAGCTGGAGTGGAATTTATGAACTGCCTGCCAGCAAATACCATTTGTTGGCTTAGAGTTGTGGAACTCCTTTGGCACAAATATATATATATTTGTATGTTTATATGTATAAATCGTACTGATGATAAATCAAATGTGCTCATTTCCTTTTAATTCTCTGTCCATTCCTGTTGCGGCTTCTTCTGTGCAAATTTTCCCTGTGCTTCCTTTTTGAATTTCTGGAATGGCTTTGAGGTTGTGCCACAGGAAATACATTCGTGTGTAGTTTTGCCAAGTGGAATGCCACAAGTTTTCCCCCCTTCTCTCTCTCTTCCTCTGTTGAAAGCTTATTCAAAAGTATTTCCTGTGATTTATTTAGTTCCTTCAGAGTGAGAGTCTCTCTCTCTCTCTGTCCTGCGGTTTTTCTTTATTAGGGTCTCTTACAAGTCAAACGCAAGTCAATAGGTCGGCTTATTCATGTTAATTACCCACGAAATGTTTTCATAATTGTTGTATAAATCCAACTGCAATTGAAACTAATTGATTTTTGTCTTGATTTTCACTTTAAGGCCATGGTCCTGCCGCCTTTGGCCAAGTGGCCCTATGAGAACGGATTCACCTTTACCACCTGGTTCCGCCTGGATCCCATTAACTCGGTGAATATTGAACGGGAAAAGCCATACCTCTACTGGTGAGTATCTAGATTAATTTACTGATGTGCTGTAGTATTTAATAAATAACTAGTTACTTATTTATCTTTAATAATTTTCTATAATTTTCTCCTTCTAGCTTTAAGACATCGAAGGGCGTGGGCTATACGGCGCACTTTGTGGGCAACTGCCTCGTTCTCACCTCCATGAAGGTCAAGGGCAAGGGCTTTCAGCATTGTGTCAAATATGAATTCCAGCCACGAAAGGTAAGACCTGTCTCTATTTATAAATTTATGAGGATATAAATATACATTCTTTGTTCTCCCTTTCAGTGGTATATGATTGCCATAGTGTATATATACAATCGTTGGACGAAAAGCGAAATCAAGTGCCTCGTTAATGGACAGCTGGCCTCATCCACAGAGATGGCCTGGTTTGTTTCCACAAACGATGTGAGTATATGGATTTAATAAATTATTTAAGCATTTAATACAAAAAGAATATTAGATTGAGATATCCATATGCCTTATTATATTATTTTTAGATATTATTTGTAAGATCTTAGCTGCCAGAAAACGTATTAAATTGTCAAGAAAGGTTATGAGATGCTCGTTAATAAATTGAAAGCAAAGATTAATAAATACTAATAGTTATTTAGTAAATATTAATCAAATTAAATAAATCAGTAAATTTAAATACGTAATTTCATAAATTAAATAAATAAAAAAGTAAAAGCTTTCAATGTATTAATATTAATATGAATATAAAGTATTTATTGTTAAATTTCTTTCCTTTTGTTCATGCATATTTATACATTTCTTTTCCAATATTTTGTGATGAATTGTTAAATAAATATTATAAAATTTTGCCTATTTTTTAGCCCTTTGACAAGTGTTACATTGGAGCCACGCCCGAGTTGGACGAGGAGCGCGTGTTCTGCGGCCAAATGTCGGCGATTTACCTGTTCAGCGAGGCTCTGACCACGCAGCAGATTTGCGCAATGCATCGCCTGGGACCCGGCTACAAGGTGAGTCCTTTCACTTCCTCGGGACATACGGGGTTGTGTTGTTGTTCTGGGGGGTGTTCAATCAGTGATTGATCACATCCTTGCACCACCAAAGCGCACCACTCTGCACAGCCGAAACGCCGCAGCAGCAGCAGCAGCAGCTAAAACCTTGTCCTTGTCTGTACAGAAATAATGTGATTTGTTTATACGTATCTATATATATTTATATATATATCTATTGCCGTTTCTCTTTTCTTTTTGCTCTTTTTTCTCTCTCTGTCCGCTGCACCGCTAAAAAAAAAACTACAAATTTGCACTGAAAAATTCAACACCAAAAATCACAACAAACAAATGCAAACAAATTATACGATAAACAAAAAAACAGTCGCAGTTTCGATTCGACAACGAGTGCTATCTGAATCTGCCGGACAATCACAAGCGGGTGAGTCACTTTCAACTCTTGCCAGCAACGGCCTTGGGGGCTGCAACGACCTTGCCGGTTGTGGGCGGCAGCACTGGGAGTGGCAGTGGCACAGGCACCGGCAGCGATGCAGCAGCCGCAGCTGCAGCAGCAGCAGGGCAGCAACAGTTGCAGCTGCAATTCCAAATCCTGGCCGCCGAGCAGGAAGCGCGAGCCATCGATTGGTCCGACGAGAGGTTGGATTTGAATGCGGCATTTGTGAAAATTCGAGCGGTACTCACCGCTCGCAATGCGGTGACCTTGGCCAGTAATAGTAGTAGTAGTAATACTGCCTCGACAGCAGCAGCAGCCGCTGCAGCAGCAGCAGCAGCAACAGCAGCAGCTGCAACATCAGGAGCAACATCCTCCGCGGCAGCAGGCACACCTACGACTGAGGACACCCATCAGCAGCAGCAGCAGCAGCAACATGCAACACACGGCGATGCCAGCGATCCGCTTGGTCATTTGCCCACCGGAAATGCTTCTTTCGGTATTTATATTTTGTTTATTTTTTAATTTTTATTGCTTATGATTTATTTTTACATATGTGTATATTAATTTTGTATTTTTTATTTATGTGCAAAGCAGACCAACTGCGTCGCATGTCCAGCGCCAGCAATCTGAGCTCCCTGATGGCAACCGCCGACACTGAGGAGGTCAACCAGCTGAAAGCTGTAAGCAAATGTTTTATTTTTTATTATTTTTGTTTTTTACCTCTAAGTTTGGCTAATTTTATATTAAGGTTGTTTATTTTTTAGACATTTATTTGATTTACCTATCGCCTTGGGTCTTTTGTTTTTATCAGTCTTAAAATTCGTTTTCAAGCTTTGCTAGTTGAATTTAAAGATTTATTTTCAAGCTTTTATACAAATTAATACATAAAATTCATATTTAATTGGTAAAAATTAATTCTATATTTTATAGCAAATTTGTTTCTGTATTAAATTCGTAAAGTATTACGAAATTGCATTGGTTAAAAACTAATTTAATAATTTGAATATATTAATTGTCTTTCTTGAAAATAAATCCATAACTCAAGCACTCGCCGGAATATAAAGTTAAAACTTACGCTTCATTTTTTCCTAAACTTCTCAACTTTAGTTTATTAATATTTTTAATTTTCTAGTTTGGAAATCAAGACTCTTTTAGTTACAACATTTTCGAGGCAAAGCAATTAAATAGTTGCCGGAGCTTGAAACTTTTTAGATCATCGATTTTTGTGTAAGCAATTAAGAAGTTAGCTGAAACTTTATTTTTGTTAAAATTTCATTACAACCCGTTATGGAGGTAATGGTTATTTTGTATTCATTTATTTCTTTGTTGAAATCAAAAACCCCCCTCCCCCCTCCGGCAGGAGGTTATTGCAAAAGCTATTAAGAACTTACCGACGGCAATTAAATCGATAGAATCAGTTTTTGAGTACATTTTGCGGGGCTTCTTCTTAAAGTCGTCGCGGAAGTTTATGAGGGGGGTTTGGAAAGTAAATGTAGCGTGCATGGTGTACACTTATCCACCCACACCTGTGCAGGTGTTTTTCACAACCACCAGGAGGAGGCTAGACAAAGGCAGCATCCAAGTAGGAGCGTAGATTGTTTGGGGGGGATCTTTGGGTGCGCGCATGTTCCATATTCCTTCAAATGGAGCTGGAGAGATTTCCTTGTGCTTGTGCTCCACATTTCCAGGACACCCGAAACAGCCATTATGTGTAGACATACCGCCCACTTTTCAGTGCCTCCCACCTGTTTCCCCACCCGCCATCCGCGGGTGAAGCAAAGTGAGTGCTTTAGTTATTTTGAATGTTGTTTTTATGTGCCAAATCGGGAGTTGAGTTAATGGGATGGGAAAACACGGCCACACACACATTCACATTCGCATTCGCATTTCCACATTTCCACAACAAACATTGCGCTTTTAAGAGGAAGGCGGGGGCAAAGTTACGAGCACAAGTCTGATCCCCGGCAAAGAAAATGGTGGAGAAAATGTATGCCGGGTGAAATAAAATGTTGCGGCAAACAAAGGCCATTCAACTAGTCAGACAGGGCAAAGCTACAATATATTAGATACACCCCAAAAAAAAATATATGTATAGCAGGAAAATTTAACATGTTTTTGAGATTATATGTGAGTTTTCCTTTAAGGAAACAATGTCTTATTTTATTTCTAGTTTTTCCCTTCCAGAGTATTGTGATTTTAGTCAAAAGCTTGTTACGTAGTGAAGGAATCATTTCCGACCCTATAAATCATATATATTCTTGATCAGCACCAACAGGCGAATCTTATTAGCCATCTCCGGCAGAAAAAAAAAATTGACTAAAATTTTCCTTTTTTTTCATCCTTAAAATAACATTGTTAAAAATTTTAAAAATTGACAAAATTTTGATTTCTTCCAAATTGTAAACAAAGTATGCAGATTTGTTAACCTGTTAAAAAATATAACACAACAGGTATCCGAATTAAAATTAATGCATTTTTGGCCTAGTTATGAGTTTTTTAAACTTATATTTTTCGACAAAATTGTCACATAAATATATAGTTAAAATCGATTAAAAAAAGAAAGGAAGCTTTATTCGGCATGCCGAAGTTTATATACCCTTGCAAATAGATCTTCGATCAGGTGTAATTAATCCAACATAAATTATGTATATTTATGTAAAAAAAACAATGAACTAACGCCTGTTTTGCCGTTGTGCATTTTCCTCTATTTCTAACGATTGTCTGTATGGCAGCTATTTGATATAGTAGTCCGTTGTTCATAAAATTTTACACAAAATTCTAGATAATTATATATTAGCTACACATCAAATTTGTTGATAATCTATAAAAAAAATTGAAAAGTTATACGTTTTTTTTTCTTAAAATTTTCTTATCGTTCCTATACCAGCTATATATATGTATATATATAGTCCACCGATTTGCCATGCTCCGACTTATATACTTGTAAAATTATATAAACGAATAACTCCATAGTTTCATTCTAATAGCTTAAATTTGTTCCAAAACAAATCTCGCACATCTGTGCATATAATTCCCAACTTGTTCTAACATCCCCGGAACGAAGTGACTGCTGTCGGCCACGTCTCAGATACATGTTGTATTACAAAAGTTGCAAGTCATTGTTTATTAGTGTTCAAAGTTAGTAACTGATTATACATACATACTTACTGATCATAGATACTTACTGTTCAGAGTTAATTACTGCTCATAGATACTCACTGATCATAGTTAATTACTGATTATGGTTACTTACTGGCCATAGATAGTTACTGCTCATAGTTAATTAATGTTCATAGATACTTACTGGTCATAGATACTTACTGCTTAGAGTTAATTACTGCTCATATTTACTTACTGGTCATAGTTAACTACTGATCATAGTTCTATAAATAGTCCGATTGTTCCTATATCAGCTATATGTATGTATATTATAGTCCACCGATTCGCCATGCTCCGACTTATATAATAGTAAAACTATATATAGAAGAATAACTCCATAGATTCATTCAAATACCTTGCTCTTGTTCCAAAACAAATCTCGGACATCTGTGCATATGATTCCCAATTAGTTCTAACCTCCCCGGAACGAAGTGACTGCTGCCGGCCACGTCTCAGATACATGTTGTATTACAAAAGTTGCAAGTCATTGTTTATTAGTGTTCAAAGTTAGTAACTGATTATACATACATACTTACTGATCATAGATACTTACTGTTCAGAGTTAATTACTGCTCATAGATACTCACTGATCATAGTTAATTACTGATTATGGTTACTTACTGGCCATAGATAGTTACTGCTTATAGTTAATTAATGTTCATAGGTACTTACTGGTTATAGATACTTACTGTTCAGAGTTACTTTCTGCTCATACTGCTCATGTCGATTTCCGGTTTGATCTTATAATTCAATAGTAAAGTGGCTTCCCGAAGTTCAGGTCCTTTCTTTGTTTTGTCCTATATTCTTTCTGTGCTTAAAAACTCTTTGGTATTAATTTTCTTTATTAATTTCTAATTTATTTAATGTTTGTGCTTTTTTATTATCATATTCTTTTATTATTATATTATTTTTTAACTAAAATATCGCAAAGAAGTATTTTTAGTAGCAAAATTAATGCAGCCAGCCGCCACAATAAAAAACAAAAGAAAGGAAACATAAAAGAATAAAAAAAAGAAACAAGAAAATAAAAGCAGCAATAATTATTATAAAACCACCAACACATGAGCACTAGCTTACATGTATGGCACACACACATACATTCTACTCACACACACACACACACAATACACAGCCTTTTATGACGGCCAAAAATGCACCGAAGGAGAAGAAAACTCAAAGCTCGAGGAAAATCGAGAAAATTCTGCCCTGAACAAGTAGCTGAAATGCAACGATGTGTGTCCTGTATATATATTGTATATTATATATATCTATATTCTGGTACATTTGAATAATATACATACACACACATATATATTTATAAACATAAAGTTGATGTGTGTGTGTGAATTGTTATGACTTGGCAGAGAGTTTATTAGAAATTTTGCAACAGAATTTTATCAGGACACAAAAGGCCAGTCGGAACTTCATAAAAGTAAATTTACGATAAACTCAAGTCCTAATCTCGCTTCACTGAAGATTTTGTCAAGTAAAACCAAAAATGGTTGTAAATTTTGTGCAAATTTATTATTTATCTAACAATTTCTCTTGGATTTTCTTCAATTTCAAGACCTAGTTTCTTTACATTCAATATTTATTATTACACAAATGAATAAACTTGGAACTCTGAAATGAAACTTGGAACTCTGCTGGATTTTAAAGGCTTTAAAGTTCCGGCTTTAGCTTTTTCCTCTAGTCACTCTGTTGTGTGTGTGCTGTTTGTATTTATTCCTATATATATATATTATTATTTTTTTTTGTATTGTGAGCTAAAGCTAAATATATAAAGACATAAAGCCAGGTTCATCGAAAAATCCCTGGAATACCGGCTGCCACACTCGATGACTCGCCGAAAGCCTGGCCTAATCCCTGCCAGCTCTCTTGTGCTCTGTTAGCCTCAATATATATACTATAACTTTAACCTATATATAAATTTATATATATTTATCTGTACCTGTGTATCTTTGACTAAGACACCTCTCTGGCTTCATCCCAACAGGTGCTGTACGATGGCAAACTATCGAATGCCATTGTGTTCATGTACAATCCGGTGGCCACCGATGGTCAACTGTGTCTGCAGTCGTCGCCCAAGGGAAACGTTTCCTATTTCGTGCACACACCGCATGCCCTCATGTTGCAGGTAAGTTTGGTGAAAGTTCAGTGCAAAAAAATGGAAGAAAAACCAAGACAAAAATAAAATGCGAAAAGTAAGCCCAAGGAGCCGTACGTCCCTGGGAGCAGCATAAATTCCATGCAGAAAATTTTACGACACCGGCGCATGCCTTGGCATTTCTTATTAGCCCAAGGTCCGAGGCCCCGTTTCCTCCGGAAGGCAGGCAGGCTCCGGATGGAGCCAAGGTCCAAGGAAAATTATTCAATAAATTTTGTAGTAATTTCTTGTGCAAACAACACACAAATCATAAGGGAGAGAGAGAGCTGGAAAGGGAAGAGAGAAGCTTGGAACGTGTCCCGTGGCTGATGACAGCTTGGGCGATTAATGGACACCAGAAACTCCGACCCAGAACTCAGAGTCTCGGACTTGGCAATGATTAAATTGAAATTTGGTTTTTGCAGGATGTGAAGGCCGTGGTCACGCACTCGATACACTGCACCTTGAACTCGATTGGAGGGATACAGGTGCTATTTCCACTATTCTCTCAGCTGGATATGGCCCACGAAGGCCTAGGGGATATCAAGAGGGATCCCACGCTATGGTAGGTTTTCTACTTTTTAACTTAACATTCTGATCTGATTTGAAACATTATGTTCTTATCTGTTGTTTTGTTTATAGCTCCAAATTGCTGGGCTTCATTTGTGAACTGGTGGAGACCTCGCAGACGGTGCAGCAGCATATGATCCAGAACCGGGGCTTCCTGGTCATCTCGTTCATGCTGCAGCGCTCCTCCCGCGAGCATTTAACACTGGAGGTCCTTGGATCCTTCCTTAACCTCACCAAATATCTGGTCACCTGTCTGTCGGCCAATAGCGATTTGCTGCTCAAGCAGGTAAGTCATTATGACTATGTATTATATATTATATATATTATTATAAAACCTATGCCTGCGCCTATGTTAGAATATGTTATGTGTATTTACGTTAAGATAATTCGATCGCGGACCACGCTGCGTATGCGCTATGTCGAAGGCATGCCGTGTTTTATATATATTTTTTTTGTGATGTATGAATTTATGAACTATGTATTATATGTTAACTAAATAACTAAGTTTGATGTAAGTTCAAATTTTTTTGGGGGGTTGGTGGTTAGCATGCAAAACAACCCCAAAACAAAAAAATATATTGCAAAATAATCCCCATTTGGTTTACAACTTTTGTTACGCGTTCTCGTTCACATCCAAAAAGAAAGAAACAAAAAATGCATAATATTATATATATAATATATATGTTTATGATATGATAATAATCCCCATCGATTGCTAACCGGGTGGCATGTTAACCCAACTCTACGAAAAAAAAATCTATATATACAACAACAATAGAAGAAATCCCAAAAATGATATGCGAATTCGTCTCGTTTGTTGCTTTCTCTGTCTCTATTTCTCTCTACCGAAAAACACACATATTCTATCTATCTCTATCAATCGCACTCACTGTGTTTTGCCTTTTGTTGATGATGATTACAATGGTTAAAATGATGATGATGATGATGATGATGGCGCACACAGTTGAACACAGGCCTGCGTAATCCTTTCAAAAAAGTAAACACAACCGTAAACAACTGCTCACATTTCTCGTTATAAGTAACTGCACTTGAGAATCTCTTAAGCAAATATACTCGTACTCGTACTCGTACTCATATACTCACTCGCATAAATATCTATGTATATATATATTCACTCCTTTCATACAATATATATATAAAACCAACGTACATATATAGTATGTATCTCACAAGCGTATTTTTGTTTGTTTTGAGCCTTTTGCCAGCCGGCAAACCGGAAAATATTTCTCCACCATGAAAATCCCATTGGTTGCCCATTGAATTTTATAAACCGCTTAGTTTAAAGGTGGAACAGAGTGCCTTTGTTCTACTACTTAAGCTGGGCAAACATATACATACATATATGTAGGAAAATTGGTTTTTTATCTCAGTGCGACTTGTGTTCAGTTTAGTTTCTTTTTATTTTCCTATGTTTATATTTTTGTATATTCTTTTAACAGTTTTTAAATCTTAAAAGAGTAAAAAACCTGAAAAAATTTAATATATAAGAGATCTTCTTTAAAGTTTTGTTTTAAAATTATCAATTTGAATCAATTAACATTGAACAACACTGTTCTGCCAGAATGTTTTGCATGTCCGTTTTCGCGCACTTTTTCCTGCATGTCCTTGAAGCTTAAAGAGAAGCTTTATTATTGGCTGAAAGCAAAAATTGTTCCATTCCTGCGTTCCGTTCTATTGCAATCACTTGCTGCCATTCCATTTGCGTTCCATACTATAACGTTTCGTTTGCACTTTGCACTTGCCTTGGCACATCGCACAGCACCGCTTCGCTATACGCTTCGTTTCCTGCTATCTCGAAAATTAAATGCGATTAATCAAAATTAATACTTTCCCTAGCCAGAATCAGCAAGACAAAAAAAAAATGTGAAATGCCAAAAAGAAGAAATATTAACTACAACTTAACTGTCTTCTTCTACTTTTGTCTGCTCTCTCTTTCAATCTCTCTCTCTCACTCTCTATATATACTATATCTCTCTCTCCCCTGCGCTCTCTCTCTCCCTGTCTCTTTCACTTCAACCACTCCTCTCCCACACGTTCCACACTCATAATCGCGCTTCTCCATTCCAAATTCCAAAAAAACCACATCCTTGCTTCTTGCTAATTGTGATCGTTTATCGATAACTATTCAATGCGCCCCATTTCGATACACACACAAAAACACACACATGATAACAACAACAACGACTACAATATATATTAACAATTTTAACAACAACAACCGAATTTATAAAAATCAAAAAATATAAAAAACAACATCTCAACATGAACAACAACAGTTCTACCAGGTGAAGCTCAATTCTCGAATTCTGTGTACTCTCTGTACTTGCATATATTCCAAATACTCGTACTATAATCAATGTAACATAAACCAGTATATACGTTTCCGTTTCCGTTCCACTGTTCCATACCGTTTCGTTTCATTTTGTGTGTTTGTGTTTAGCGTAATTTGTTGAACATAACTCGTTACTCGTATAACTTGTATTGTGTACATAAGACTTCATCTCATCATCAGAGCAATATCGCATACCGTTCATCGATTTCTATATATATTTATGTATATATATATATATATACATACCTCATGCAGCATTTCATTCCGTTCCGCTCCGCTTTGTTTGCCCCTGAAACCGCAACGATAAACCGCATAATCTTATTAACTCTGAAAGGACCTTAAGCGAAAACCTCAAAGAACCCCGAATCAAAAAAACCCCATAGTCAATCTCAGCCATTGGCTTGGCTTTACCCCCTTGGCTTTTCTGGTTCCGTTACCACTTTCCTTCACCATTTCCCATTTACCCATTTTCCCACCTCCTGCTGTTCCTCACTCAATTTGTTCAATGTGTCATTTGGATAATTGAAGCCAAAGTTGTGTTCACAGCACCGCATCGCACCTTCCTAATTGCTCGCCTCGCATATCTCCTGAAACATATATATGTATATGTATATATATCCATATCCATTCGCCCTTGTGTCCCTTTGCAAAATGAATAAATTTCAACTGGAGTGTAATAAAAAATAGTTGAAAACCAGAGCACAGAAATTTTTCGTGGCACCGAAAGGTGCTGCATTTTTATTTTTCATGTTTTTTTTTTACATTCGTTGCACAGCAGCTTTTTAATTGGGAAACTTCTCCGGCTCTGGCTCCGGCTCCGGCTCCATCTCTGGTACTGGCTCTGGCGCTCTTGCCTCCTGCTCTGTGTGAGGATTCTTTGGGGGATGCTTTTTGTGGGGGGTGTGGAGAATGTTTGGGGAAAATCCTTGTTGCATTGTTGCCAGAGCGCCATGGGAACAACATTGGCGAACATTGGTTTTGACAATCCAACAAGTTGAGGCAAGGGCTTAACAAGTTTTGTTTTCTGGGCCCCGGCCAAAAGGCAGATGAATGAAATTAAAGCGGATTGCAATTCCCTTCACTAGCCAGACAGAAGTTGCTCTTAACTGGATTACGTTCACATATATATTCAGTGCACTTTAATGCCACAGATTGAGTGACTCCTCGAGTCGATATTAAGCCAACTGGAAGTTTCAATTACCAAATGAACACTAAATGAGCTCTCAAAAGTGCCACTGGACATTATTAAAACTAAGTTCCAGATAGTTATAGTTATCCTCGGACTCACTCTCTATATATATGTATTTATCATAAAAACCAACCCACATAATTTCCATAAGCCATTTTGTATGCATAATACAACTTAATATATATGTTTTTTACTCAACCAAATTCTAGTCCTAACTTAGTCATAACTTTATATTTACTGGAAAAAAGTAAAAATAAAACTATAGCCTAGCTTAGACTAGCCTAGTTTTAGTTTAATTTAGTTTGGTTAAGTGTTATTAAATTCCCCTCTTAACTTTTGAAGCTAACCAAAAAAATCCTCATTGAAACCGGAATGCAATTTGTTTCGTTTCGTTTCATTTCGTTTCGTTCCATTCCGTTCCGTTGCATTCCGTTGGAATTTGATTTTATGTTCTCGTTCTGAATGCCGTTTTGCTGTTTGCTGCATGTGTTTATGTTGGGTTCCCCCGCCCAATAACTACTACCAAAAACCCAATTAAATATCAACATCAACTACAACAACAATCCTGACTACAACAACATCCAACAAATAAATAAAAAAAAAAAAAAACCAAACTCATGTTTAAACGTATGTATACCGAAATCAAACTCATTATTTAAATACTGCACTTGACATATATATACCCTTTTGGAAATATATATAATATATTCACACGCTTAAATCCTCTTAAAAATCCCCTTTGACTATATCTATCTTACTATTTGAATCAATTACAAACTATATATCCTATACTATATACACTACTGCCACACACCGTACACACACCCTTCCTTTTCGAGCGAATAAAAAAAAACCCACACACAACGACACAAGAACACCCTTTTTTATCGATTTGTGCGAGGACAGCATAAGTTACTTGACTAATTCCCCGCAGTTGTTCTGTTTCTCATTTCTCACGTGGCAGCTGCTGGACCATGTCCTCTTCAATCCAGCCCTGTGGATCTATACGCCGGCGAATGTCCAGGCGAGACTGTACTCCTACCTGGCCACCGAATTCCTCTCGGATACCCAAATCTATAGCAATGTGCGAAGGGTGAGCACTGTACTTCAGACAGTGCATACCCTCAAGTACTACTATTGGGTGGTAAATCCAAGGGCCAAGAGCGGTATAATACCCAAGGGATTGGGTAAGTATTGGGGGAGGGATCTCTAAAAGAACTACAAATTTATCACTATTGTGAAAATCGATGAAAAATCGATAACTAAAGTGTTTGATATCGAATTTAATGTCTTTTACTACGAAAGTCTTCTTCTTTAAAATGTTTTTAACTTTGAAGGTATTTTTCAAGGGTTTTATATTAATAGATCAAATCTATAAATCAATCTATAGCTTTTATAATTTAATAATTACCTTGATATCATCTTCTATTAAAGTATTTTTTGTAATATTGTTATCTTCCAGAGATACTTGTTAAATTGAATTTGAAAAGATTACAATTTCATAAATTTTAATATTTATTTAATATCAAACAAAACACTTATCGAACTCTTATGGATAGTGATTTATAGGAAATGTCTAGAGTTAATAATTAAATATTAAATAAGATTCTTTAAATAATTTCTTTAAATTTCTAAAATTCCATCTTTAACTTTCTCCCCCTCACAGATGGACCACGTCCTGCGCAGAAGGATATCCTGGCCATCCGTGCCTATATCCTGCTGTTCCTCAAGCAGCTTATTATGATCGGCAACGGGGTCAAGGAGGATGAGCTGCAGAGCATACTCAACTATCTGACCACCATGCATGAGGTGGGTAAAAGATCCAAGAAATTCAAAGGCAGAACCTCTCCTCCTCATACAAGAATACCCTGTAAACCTCTTCGTTTCCCTCCTTCTGTCTTCTCTTAATTCCAGGACGAGAACCTGCACGATGTCCTGCAGATGCTCATCTCGTTGATGTCGGAGCATCCCAGCTCCATGGTACCTGCCTTCGATGTGAAGCACGGCGTGCGCAGCATCTTCAAGCTGCTGGCAGCCGAAAGTCAGCTCATCCGGTTGCAGGCCCTCAAGCTGCTTGGATTCTTCCTGTCACGCAGCACCCACAAGTGAGTGTTAAATAATTAATTACTATAAGTACCTATTTATATTTTAAATATATAATATATTATATTATTTATATGATGCTCTAATTATATCTCTTGCTTTTATTTTCTTTTGTATTTTCCCTAGACGCAAGTACGATGTTATGTCGCCGCACAATCTGTACACTTTGCTGGCCGAGCGTTTGCTTCTCTATGAGGAGTCCCTCTCCCTGCCCACATACAATGTCCTTTACGAGATCATGACGGAGCACATCTCGCAACAGATCCTGTACACACGTCACCCAGAGCCAGAGAGCCACTATCGCCTGGAGAATCCAAGTGAGTGTTCAGATATTTATAAAAAAAAACTATTTAAATAGAGAAGATGCACATTTCATATACAATTTCGGAGAGTAAACTTTAAATATTCGAAAAATGTTATTGTTAGCTAAATGTTTTACTTGATTTTAAGAACTATTCCAAAGTGCATTTTAATCTAGAGTTGATCTAAAATTTAACCAAAAATTCAGCTCGGATTTATTCAGAATTCTTAAATATTTAAACCATAAATCAGAATTATTTTCATTATATATTATTTTATACATGATTTCTTTTCATTTAATGAATTTTTTGTTGTTAACTTTTCCCCTTCGCAGTGATTCTCAAAGTGGTGGCCACTCTCATCAGGCAATCCAAGCAAACGGAATCCCTGATTGATGTCAAGAAGCTATTCCTGCAGGACATGACCCTGCTGTGTAATAGTAATCGTGAAAATCGCCGAACTGTGCTCCAAATGTCCGTCTGGCAGGAGTGGCTCATTGCGATGGCCTACATCCATCCGAAGAGCAGTGAGGAGCAAAAGATTAGCGATATGGTCTACTCCCTGTTCCGAATGCTGCTCCATCATGCCATTAAGCATGAGTATGGCGGATGGCGTGTGTGGGTCGATACCCTGGCCATTGTTCACTCCAAGGTCTCGTACGAGGAGTTCAAGTTGCAGTTTGCTCAGATGTACGAGCACTATGAACGCCAGCGGACGGACAATATCACAGATCCTGCCCTGCGACAGGCTAGACCCATCAGTACCATCAGTGGGTGGGAGCGTGAGGAGCTGCATCAGCAGCAGAACGGAGCTGTGGCTCCAGCATCTGCAGCAGGAGCAGCAGTAACAGCACCACCTTCAAGTCAAGGCGGTGCCGCTCCTGTTAAGGCTGCCGTTTCCATTGCCTCGCTGGAGGATGTGCCGCCCGTGGTGGAGGAGGAAGTTGAAGAGCTGGAACTGGAAGAGATTGAGGTAGTCCCTGAGGGAGTGGAATTCCAAGCGGAAGGTGCGGTCGAGCCCAAGTCCGTGATAGCCAACATTTCGGATGTGTACAACGAGCAGCTGAAAACCGATGCCACCACCTGTAATGGCAACCGGGAGGAGCAAGAGCAGGAGCAGGAGCAGGAGCAGCAGCAGCAGGAGCAGGAGAAGAACTTGGAGCTGGGTTCAGCGACTTCACCAGCTGACCAAACCGAAGACGTCTCCTATTCACTGGAAGCGCTGCGCGAAACCCTGGAGCTGGGCGATGACATGGATGTGGAGGAACTGGAACTGGCCACGGCCAAGGATGCCCTCAATGCAGAGCAGCATGTGGCCCACATACTGCAATCTTCGGAGGCGGCTCTAAATGAATGCAAAATGGCCGTCGATGATGTATTGCAGGAGGCCTCCTCAGTTCTCAAGGATGAGGAGATCGAACTAGCTGTCAACGAAGTCGTTCAGGGTGTCCTGAACAACGAGAAGAAGTCATCGCTGACCGATAAGGATCATCCCGAGGCTGTGAATGTAACTCTGCTGAATAGCAAGAATCTGCTCAACAATAACAACAATAATAATAACAACAGTCCAAGTCTCACGCCCACAACGGGAGTGGAAACGTCAGAGGATGTGCATCCTGAGACGGAGGTCAATGCCAATGAGATTGTGCCCAAACCGGAAACGGTGAAGGTAACAACGACCACGACCACGACAACAACGGAACAACAAGTGCCGGCAAAAACGGAAACGGAACCCACAACAGAGGCTACTCTGGCCAAGCCAGATGCTGTCCCTAGTTCCGGTTCCATTGCCGATGCCAGCTCCAGTCCGAGTCCCAGTTCCAGCCCAGAAGCAACCAATCAAAAGACTGAAGAAGCAGCCAATAAGCTGAATAACAACGATAAGCAGGCGGAGATTAGCTCACCGGATAGCGCACCGATGGCGGATCTCCTGCAGCTATCCGACACCGAAGTCAAGCCGGAAGAGGAGCAGGAGAAGGTAACGACAGCTGAACCCGAAGCCGATCCGGTGGCTCTGGCCGTTAGGGACATTGTCGAGCAGCTCATCGACAAGGTGATCGATGCCACCGAAGCGGAAGCGGAAGCGGAAACCTCTTCAGCGTCAGCAACCAGTAAAACGGAAACGAACAATAATGAGCTGCCCAAGGAGGAGGATGAGAAGGAGAAGGAAAAGGAAAAGGAAAAGGAATCTCCTGTTGTCCAAGACTCTACTGCTGCTGCGCCCGAGGAAGTGGAAAGCTTGACTGCTGCTGCCGCCGCCGAGGAAATCGTTGAGGAAGTAGTAGAAGCTGCTCTGATCTCGGTTGAAGAAGAGCATCCTCTGGAGGTTGAGGCAAGCCAGGAGGAAAAGCCACAAGTCACCGAGGCAAAACCAGAAGAAGTCCAGACACCAGAGACCAAGAACGAAGAGGCCAGCCAAGAACTGGCAGATCAATCCAGCAAAGAATCCCCAAAACCTGTTATAGAAACACCTCTGATAGAGCCAACCGATGCTAAAGAGCAGGTGGTGGCCATTGTCAACGAAGTTCTGGACACACTCGTCGATGAGACTGTCAAGGCTGTGGCCTCCGAGCAAACCACACAGACCTCACCTGCCCCGAACAGCAGTCGCCCCGCGTCCAGTCGAAGGAAGCAACGACAGCCACGACGGCCACAACGCCGGTTCGCATAAAGCCCACTGAGGTGGATTCCACCACACAGACCACGCCCAAAAATGAGGCGGGTCAAGTGATGGTCGAGGAGCAGCAGGCGCATCAACAGCAGCAGCAGCAACAGCAACAACAGCATCTGCAGGATGAGGATGCCCAAACCTCTGGCACAGTCGATGATGAAGAGTATGCCGCCCAGCAGGCTGTCTCGGGAGTGGAGGGAGCCAGTCAAATGGAGGCCAGTCATTATGGTGAGTTGGAGTTTTATAAAATTATAATACGTTCATAAAATTTTACACAAAATGATAGATTTATAGGAAGCTGGAAAAGTTACTTTTTGTCTTAAAATTTTCTTATCGTTCCTATGGTAGCTATATATATGTATATATAGTCCACCGATTTGTCAAGTTTCAACTTATATACTAGTAGAATTATGAAGAAGAATAACTCAATAGTTTTATTGAAATAGCTTAAATTTGTTCCAAAACAAATCTCGCGCATCTGTGCATATGATTCCCAATTGGTTCTAACCTCCCCGGAACGAAGTGACTGCTGCCGGCCACGTCTTAGATACGTGTTGTGTTACAAAAGTTGCAAGTCATTGTTTACTAGTGTTCAAAGTTAGTAGCTGATCATACATACATACTAACTGATTATAGATACTTACTGTTCAGAGTTACTTACTGATCATAGATACTTGCTGATCATAGTTAATTACTGATCATAGTTACTTACTGGCCATAGATAGTTACTGCTCATAGTTAATTAATGTTCATAGGTACTTACTGGTCATAGATACTTACTGCTTAGAGTTAATTACTGCTCATATTTACTTACTGGTCATAGTTCTATAAATCGTCTGATTGTTCCCATAGCAGCTATATATATGTATTTATATAGTCCACCGATTTGTCATGTTTCGACTTATATACTAGTAGAATTATGAACAAGAATAACTCAATAGTTTTATTGAAATAGCTTAAATTTGTTCCAAAACAAATCTCGCGCATCTGTGCATATGATTCCCAATTGGTTCTAACCTCCCCGGAACGAAGTGACTGCTGCCGGCCACGTCTTAGATACGTGTTGTGTTACAAAAGTTGCAAGTCATTGTTTATTAGTGTTCAAAGTTAGTAGCTGATCATACATAAGTACTTACTGATCATAGATACTTACTGTTCAGATTTAATTACTGCTCTTAGCTACTTACTGAACATAGTTAGTTAATGTTCAGTGTTATTTACTGGTCATAGATCGTTACTGCTCATAGTTAATTAATGTTCATAGGTACTTACTGGTCATAGATACTTACTGCTTAGAGGTAATTACTGCTCATATTTACTTACTGGTCATAGTTCTATAAATCGTCTGATTGTTCCTATAGCGGCTATATATTTGTATATATATAATCCACCGATTCGCTTTGCTCCGACTTATATACTAGTAATATTATATAGAAGAATAACTCAATAGTTTTATTGAAATAGCTTAAATTTGTTCCAAAACAAATCTCGCGCATCTGTGCATATGATTCCCAATTGGTTCTAACCTCCCCGGAACGAAGTGACTGCTGCCGGCCACGTCTTAGATACGTGTTGTGTTACAAAGTTGCAAGTCATTGTTTACTAGTGTTCAAAGTTAGTAGCTGATCATACATACATACTAACTGATTATAGATACTTACTGTTCAGAGTTACTTACTGATCATAGATACTTGCTGATCATAGTTAATTACTGATCATAGTTACTTACTGGCCATAGATAGTTACTGCTCATAGTTAATTAATGTTCATAGGTACTTACTGGTCATAGATACTTACTGCTTAGAGTTAATTACTGCTCATATTTACTTACTGGTCATAGTTCTATAAATCGTCTGATTGTTCCCATAGCAGCTATATATATGTATTTATATAGTCCACCGATTTGTCATGTTTCGACTTATATACTAGTAGAATTATGAAGAAGAATAACTCAATAGTTTTATTGAAATAGCTTAAATTTGTTCCAAAACAACTCTCGCACATCTGTGCTTATGATTCCCAACTTGTTCTAACCTCCCTGTAACGAAGTGACTGCTGCCAGCCACGTCTTAGATACGTGTTGTGTTACAAAAGTTGCAAGTCATTGTTTACTAGTGTTCAAAGTTAGTAGCTGATCATACATAAGTACTTACTGATCATAGATACTTACTGTTCAGATTTACTTACTGCTCATAGATACTCACTGATCATAGTTAATTACTGATCATAGTTACTTACTGGCCATAGATAGTTACTGCTCATAGTTAATTAATGTTCATAGGTACTTACTGGTCATAGATAGTTACTGCTTAGAGTTAATTACTGCTCATATTTACTTACTGGTCATAGTTCTATAAATCGTCTGATTGTTCCTATAACGGCTATATATATGTATATATATGATCCACCGATTCGCTATGCTCCGACTTATATACTAGTAATATTATATAGAAGAATAACTCAATAGTTTTATTGAAATAGCTTAAATTTGTTCCAAAACAAATCTCGCGCATCTGTGCATATGATTCCCAATTGGTTCTAACCTCCCCGGAACGAAGTGACTGCTGCCGGCCACGTCTTAGATACGTGCTGTGTTACAAAAGTTGCAAGTCATTGTTTATTAGTGTTCAAAGTTAGTAGCTGATCATTCATACATCCTTACTGGTCATAGATACTTACTGTTCAGAGTTACTTTCTGCTCATAGATACTCACTGATCATAGTTAATTAATGTTCATAAGTACTTACTGCTCATAGCTACTTAATGCTCATAGTTAATTGCTGGTCATAAGTAATTACTGATCGTAGATTATAAATCGTCTGATTGTTCCTATAGCAGCTATATATATGATCCACCGATTCGCTATGCTCCGACTTATATACTAGTAATATTATATAGAAGAATAACTCAATAGTTTTATTGAAATAGCTTAAATTTGTTCCAAAACAAATCTCGCGCATCTGTGCATATGATTCCCAATTGGTTCTAACCTCCCCGGAACGAAGTGACTGCTGCCGGCCACGTCTTAGATACGTGTTGTGTTACAAAAGTTGCAAGTCATTGTTTATTAGTGTTCAAAGTTAATAGCTGATCATACATACATACTTACTGGTTATAGATACCTACTGATGATAGTTACTTAATGTTCATTGATACTGACAGCATAGTTACTTAACTAACTGTTGAAAGATAATTACTAACTTAAAGTCAAAAGGAGGATGAGGAGTTAAATTAACCTTTGGCTTAAAATAACTTGAAAATCGAATGCAATTTCAGGTCCCGGTGGAACCGGTCCTGGCCAGGAACAGAAGCAACAACAGCAACGCTCTAAATCGGGCTCCACCCGACCCATGTTCAGTCCTGGACCAACGCGTCCACCCTTCCGGATACCAGAGTTCAAGTGGTCCTACATCCATCAGCGTTTGCTCAGCGATGTGCTCTTCTCCCTGGAGACGGACATTCAGGTGTGGCGCAGTCACTCGACGAAGAGCGTCCTGGACTTTGTCAACTCCAGTGAGAATGCCATATTTGTGGTGAACACAGTGCATTTGATCTCTCAGCTGGCGGATAACCTGATCATAGCCTGCGGTGGATTGCTGCCGCTTTTGGCCAGTGCCACGTCGCCTAATGTGAGTTTATAGTTATAGATTATTCTTTAATTTTTATAATTTTATTTGATGTTTGTTTTGTATAATTTATTTAGTCCGAATTGGATGTGCTGGAGCCCACGCAGGGCATGCCCCTGGAGGTGGCCGTGTCCTTCCTGCAGCGTCTGGTCAATATGGCCGATGTTCTAATCTTTGCCACTTCGCTGAACTTTGGTGAACTGGAGGCGGAGAAGAATATGTCCAGTGGTGGGATACTGAGGCAATGCCTCCGCCTGGTGTGCACCTGTGCTGTGCGTAACTGTCTGGAGTGCAAGGAGCGAACCCGCTACAATGTGGGAGCCTTGGCTAGAGATGTGCCCGGAGCAGCCCATTTGCAGGCACTCATTCGAGGAGCTCAGGCCTCGCCCAAGGTAGAGATTGCAGCTGCTATAAATTTATTTATTATTATTTAATTAATTCTTGTTACTTGGCTTTCAAATAGAACATTGTCGAGTCAATAACTGGTCAATTATCGCCCGTCAAGGATCCGGAGAAGCTGCTGCAGGACATGGATGTAAATCGTCTGCGTGCCGTGATCTATCGCGATGTGGTAAGTGTTTTTTAGTTGGGGAAAATAATTCGAAATACGTTTCTTGTTCATTTAATTTTCTCTTTTCTTTCTTTTAAATCCCTTTTAAAGGAGGAGACCAAGCAGGCCCAGTTCTTGTCACTGGCCATTGTCTACTTTATATCGGTGCTAATGGTGTCCAAATACCGTGATATCCTGGAACCGCCGGCAGAGCCGCAAATCCAGCGACAATCGCCAGTGCTGCAACGCACGGCAGGCGGCGGTAAGTGTTTGCATAGATTTATTATAAATTATATTAAGATTGATAATTATTATTAACATATATTGGAGCCATAACTAGAGATGATATTGATATTGCTGGGAACCGGGGGGTGTGAAAACGGTATTTCTGCCAGTCTGGCAGTCTTTCCGTTTCATTCTCATTACGTTTTTTGTTTTGTTTTCCTAGTTATTTTGTTTGATTTTGTTCCACTTGTGTTTCTCGGTTGCCCTTTGTTTTAGTTTCCTTTTCCGTTTTTGTTTCTTTTCCCATTTCCGTTTCCGTTATTGCTCTTTGCTGCACCAAAAACTTCACGCTCGCTTATGGTTTCCCTCTCTCTCTCTCTAACTCTTTATCTCTATTTTGCGATTCGGCCGCTAGTCTTAACCAACTTGATTTATATTTGCCTCTAAATATATATATATATGTATGATACATATATATATATAAAGATGTGGTTTTTTAGTTTTTACGATATATTCGTTCCATTTCTCATTGGTTCCAGCTTGTTTGGCTTTTTTGGTTTTGTGTTCTGTGTTTTTCAAACAGCTGAGAAGCCCAGACTTGTTCTTATTTTTTTATATATATACAATATATATATTATTATATATGGTAGATATGCCGCTCGATCAGTGACAAAAAATAAATATTATTTATATTTATAAGACACCCAAACCAAACCAACGCACTGCGCACCCAAAGATACCCCTGCTCCCCTCCCCCTAGCAGCCCCCTCCCATGTGCGTGTGTGTGTAAATCCCCCCGTTTTCTTTGAAACTAAATCACCTATATATCTCTGTCTCTCTCTCCCACCTCATTGTTCCACTCACAGCCCCTCCACACCCACTCCACTCCCATCCACAGAGCTCCCCCTTTTTATTACTATATATACATAAATATTATATATATATATATATAATCACTAGCTATTAAGAACACTACAAGATATATCTCATGTCTGTCCATTGTTGGAGATACTATTCGGTTTTATGTTTCCCTTTCTTTGTTCCGTTTTACCAATGATTTCATTTCACGCTGCTTTTTCGGATTTATTGTACAAAAAAATAAAATATTAAAAAAAAACTGAACACAAAAAACGGAACAAAATAAACCTGAATATGTGAACAACGTTATGTGCCTCGCCTTGCCACGCCACCTTTAAATAAACAAAAAATCCGGATAAATAATATGCCTTGCCATGCCCACCTACAACAATAATAATGAACATAATAACATAAATCCAACAAAAACCTAAATATATAAATCATAAATATATAACCTCTGTAAATAAACACAATCAAACTATAGAAGCCGCCAGTGCGCGTCCCTTGTTTCCCCAATGGTCGCATCATGTCTATCCGCAATTCCTGCCCGAATCGCATCAGAATCATGTGGCAGCCGCCGCCGGCAACATGCCACAGCAGCAGCAGCAACACCAGCAGCAGCAGCAACATTACTACCAGCAACAGCAGCAGCAGGTTGCCCATAATCACAGTCATCACCATTACTATCAGCAACAGCAGCAACATGCAACAGCAGCAGCAGCAGCAACACAGCAGCAGCAGCAGCAACTTGGTGGCAATATCTCACCCACTCCCTTGGCCAATCATTCCACCAGCTCCTCGGCCAGCTCCACGGCCACATCCCAGCCAGCCTCAAGCTCCAGCTTGTCTAGTCTGGCCTCCCAGAGCCAACAGCAGACGCATCGTCAGTTGCACAAGCAGCAGCAGCAGCAGCAACACTACGGCCTCATCAATGGCCACCAGCAACAGCAGCAGCAACTAAATGGAAAGCACTATGCGGAAAATGGTGGCTACCATCCCCATCCGCATTCGCATCCCCACCAGCATCCGCATCCGCATCCGCATGCGTATATGAGGAATGGCGAGACGCCGTCCCAGAATGGCTATGCGGAGTACCAGGCGGTGGGTATGGTCAATGGTCATGGCTCTGGTCCAGTCTCGGGCAATAATAATTCGAGTCTGATGAATAACATGCGCAACCTGAGGAATGGCAACGGTGGCGGAGGAGTGGGAGGAGCAGCTGGACAAGGAGGAGCCCCTGGTGTTGGTGCCACAAATGCTGTGGGTACCGGTGGCATGGGCATGTCCATGTCCATGGGTAACGTAATGCCTGGCAATATGAATATGGGCGTGGCAGGTGGCGGCATGACAGGTGGCATGGATGGAGGCGTTGGCTACAAGACGAGCGCCATAAATAATAATTATCGCTACAATGGACGCAACGCATCCGCTGGAACAGGTATCGCTCGTTCGACATGTTGTAGAGTTTAGAGTTCAAAACTGGCACCTCTCCAAAATCCATCTTTCCTTTATTTCCCCCTTAACAAAAAAAGAAAAAGAATCTCTATCTGTGTATCTGTATAATCTATGTATCTATGTATCTCTATTCGTAACTATCTGTATCTGTAGAAGGGGTGCCACGGGACAATAGAAATCTTTTATGAAAACTATCCAAAAGTTTGCATACCTTGCAATTTGCAATTATACTTTTGTATGGATTTAAGGGACTTTTCCTTGCTAGTAATATATAATTTAAATCGTATGAAAAATTCCTACAGTGAGCTTTAAAAGTACCTATATTTTATGGCAAATTCATTAGAGCATCATTAAAAAATTATTTATATATTTAAATAGTATTAAAACATCTAAAATTATTTCTCAGAATACAATTTAAAAGAATTTGCTTTCATAATCAATATGAAAGTAAACTAAACAATTTAATTTATTAAAAATTAAACAACAAAGCATTCTTAATCAATCAAAAACCTCTTAATTAAAGCAAACTATTCTTAAATTATTTGTACTGCAAAGCATTTTTAAAGCTTACTCAGCGACTTAAAAATAACTAGAAAATCACCTTGGCACCCTTTCTCCCTCTTTTTACATATAGATACATATATCTTTTTAGCTGCTAGACTGTTGCTCACTTTCCTTTCGATTCGATTCAATTCGATTTGATTTATTTACCATATATATATGTATTTCTATTTCGATTTATATTTCAATTTCCATTTCTATTTCTCTGCTGATTTTGATTTAGTCGTTCTCACTTGCCTTTCATTTCCCTTGCCTTTGCGTACTCGTAGTTTGTGTATATATATATATTATATTATATATTGTATATTGGTAGCTAAGCTTATCCTCTTCTTCAGACTATTTTTTAGTGCATAACACACTCCTCACATATAACACTTGGTTTTATGTAAATATTCTCAGCAAAAAAAACTCCTTCTACTTGAATTGTTTGTGTACATATATTTTACACCTGTTGTATGTATGTATGCTGTGTGTGAGTGTGTTTTGTGTGGGTGTGAATGTGTGTGTATGAGTGCCACTCGAAGGACACAGATTTTATCTTTAGTTTAGCTTTTCATTGGTTATTTTGCCTAAAGCACCTCAAAAAATATGTGAATTTCACCTGAAAATTCGATAGATTAAAGAACTCTCATCGCTTTGATATTATTAGTCCGGATTCTTTAACATTTTGTAAGCGTATTTAAGCGCCCTTCTGTTATTTGGGGAAATCACTTAATCGCCTTTCAATCAAAACGCATTAAATGTACTTTCATTTAGTATCCAGCTTAAGCCGACTTAAAGCAATTGTTGGTGATTTAATTTTGGTTCATTCAAACTATTTATATTTATTATATTTTGCTGCACATTTAGCACACTCTCTTAATATTCAGTTGTATTTTAAAAAGGGCTTTCTTGAATTAAATTCTGAAACAGCTTTCGGTTTTGCAAATTCCATAGTTTTTTTTAAGCCAAACTAAAATTCTTTCTAAATGTTTGAAGGGAAATGTGGCAAAGAGTAGAGGCAGCAACATGATGATGATGTAATGGCCGACACGTTATCCAAATATGCTTTTAAAAACTGCAATCTATCTTTGTATAAATACACACACACTCAGTGTGTGTGTGCTAGAACAGTGACAGCTAGAAAATTTTTGACACTTCAGGGTCTAGAAAATTCCTTCCACTTTTTCCCTGCTTTCTCTCAGGCTCTCTTATATATTTTTGGATTTTTTTCCTGTTCGTTTGCTCCCAACTTGCTCGTCATTTTTGTGCTGTCAGCAAAAATTCATTTCATTTATCTTCATTTGCAATACACTCTTACGCACCCACACACACACACAGCAGGAAAATCTGGAAAATGTTTCGCACTTCCCTTCCCAGAAAAAAAAGGAAATACTCCGCCACTCACCTCCTGCTTCTCTTCCACTCTCAATGAAATATAATTCGTTAATTTTACATTTTATGAAAATGAATTACACGAAAATTATACAATTTGCCATTCCTACATGGCTCTCGTTTTCTCTGTGTGTGTGTGTGTGTGTGTGTGTGTGTGTGTGGGAGAGTGCTGTGTGTGTGTGTGTGGGAGAGTGTGTGAGTGCGCATAAAACATTTCGCAGACAGGCCATAAAACGACATTCGGCACGCCTGCATTTTAAAAATTGCCATTTGGACACACGGTCGGTCAGAGGAGAAAAAAAATTTAACAGAAGGCCAAAGGGAAAGAAAAACCAAGGAAAGCCCGAAAATTGGGTTTTTTTCCAACATTGAAATACAAAAATCCGGAATTCGGAAATACCCTATTAAATAGAGAATATTTACAAGGAGAAAATGAGTGATTTCCGGTTGCAGAGATAAATTTATTAAATATTTGCAGTTAAAAAAATTATTAGTAATGGAATAGGTTTCTTTTTAAACTTTAAATTCTGATTTCTAAGGTTCAAATCAATTAAAAACTTAGATAATTAAACTGAGTATTAGTGAGTAATAGATTCCTGTTATTTAAATGTCAAATATTAATTTTTATACAATTCTTTTTGATATTTCATTGATTTTATAAAAAGCTAGTATTCTCGTAAAAGTTTATCTAAATTTAGATACATTTTTAATAGATTAAAGTTATGTAAACGAATATTGAAATTATAAAATTTTATTGATCTAATATCAAGTTTAAAGCCAGCTTATTTTTGTCTTAAAATGTAGATAACAGAAATATTTATATTTTCATATTATTTAAAAGAGAAATATACATTTTTTACGATTTTTATCAATATTTTGCTGGTTTCATAGTCAGGTTTTATCCATCTATCAGATATTAATAATTATTTTCTAAACAATTACGATTAAGTTCTAGTTTTGAGTTTTTTTTTAATATTGTAGCCAGATCCAAAGGACTCTGCAATGGTCAGAGATCCTTTAACACAGAGTATCCGGTACAACAAGCACACATTTCCATTACAAAATTAATGGCAGCGACAAAAATGTAAATTAGTCGCGCCGAAAAATACAAAAAAAAAAGGAAAAACAGGAGAGCCATAACAGAGTGGGAAAAACTTTGGGATAATTTATGAAAGCTGGGAGGGAGAAGTAAAAAAAAACAGAAAAAACAGAAAAGCGTAGAGCGTAGAGCGAATAAAAAAGCTGGAAAAACAGTTTGTACAACTGTTGGAACCGATAACACGTTCCGAATTCTGTACAAAAGTAATTTGTGGCCAGTCTCTCTGGTGCCCCCTGCCCTGTGTAAATCCCCGTGTGCGGAGGGCTGAGGGCGTGGCAGTGCATGAAAATAATTGCAAAATTAAACGAAAAAGAGAGAGGGAGCGCTGGGAGCTGCTGAAGGGATGTGCACGAAAGTGTAGCATACTTAACAGGGCACCCCAAAAAAGATAGTGGCAAAGAGGGAAGCAGGACAACGACAGGCGACAGGACAGAGTGCACGTGTCGGGGACAATCATAAATTTCAATTAAGCCAGATCAGGACATGGCCAACTGTTAAACAAGGTTAATTTGTAGATAAAAGCCATACTCAGAGTCAGCGCTCAAGGGGGAAAATAACCAAAAAGGAGAGGGAGTCAGTACGAAAGTCTTACAAATTATGAGCTTGCTAATTCCGTTCCTCCCCTCAACAACACCTTTGTGTTTTGCTTTTGTTTCTTTTGTTTTTTCTTTTTGTGGAATTTTGTTCCTTGTTCTTTTCTGTTTCATTTAAGTTAAATTTTTAGGTTGTAATTTCCTTGAGTTTTTGTCTGCAGCTTCGTAACAGTAAATTCTACAGATTTCTACTTTAGTTCTGTAATTGTAATTGCAACCATGAATATATATTGAAATATATATATGAAAATATCTATGAAAATATATTTTCAAATATTTATAAAAAATTTAACTAAAGAATCCCCGTATTAATACCTATTTCCCTACATTGTACCTTCTTTTTCTCTCCTTACCAGGTGGTCGTCAAATTCAGGATAGTGATTATGAAATAATTGTGGTGGATGAGAATAATCCCTCTGTGTTGGCAGACAACGATTCACATTCCAGTGGTCCACCCTCAATTAAGGTGAGTTTTTTATACGTATTATTTAAATATATTTTTAAAATATACAGAATATAGAATGAAACAAGTGTGAGTGTGTTGCATGTGTTTTTTACGAGTGATTGAGTGCGTGCTTTATCATAAAGAACGTTTTTATTACAAGTAATAAGAAAAACATAAAGAAGAAAACAACTAAACTTCATTTGCATGTGCAATAAAAAAATATATTTAAATTTTGTATGCAAAAATTATCAATCACAACAACGACAACAATCAAAATCAAAAAAATGTCACAGGCCAACCAGACAACAACAACAGCAACTACAACAACAACCCATTACAACAATAACAACACCACTAAGACTACAACAACAACTACAGCAAAAGCTCCAACAACAACAACAACAACTGCAACAATTAAAATTCAACAACAACCATTGTCACCACCCAAGCCGTTGGTGCCTCAAAAATTGCCAAAGGTAAACCAAAGAACAAAAAAAAAATACAGAAAATCAAGAAAAACATTTTCCAAAAACCAAATGCTTCAAAAAAATTAAGAAAAACAAGCAAGAATTGCAGCAGCCACTGCAACAAAACAGCAAAACAACATCAACAGCTTTTGACAGTCCGTAAAAACAGCACAAAACCCACCAAAATAAATAAAAACTGCACTCGTACTGCTACAAATATACATTTTTGACGCACTGAAAACGCCACACCCACACACAACACACACATCATACACACACCCAAGAAATCTACAGACTCAGAAAATATATATGAAACACGCTTACATTTCGGTTTTATTTTACACATATTTTTTTGGCCTCTCATTACATTTGATTTTAGGTGTGTTTTCCGTTGAGCCTTAATTGCTGTCCCCAGTTCTATATTTGCCTTTGTGTATTTTTCGAATTTTTGTGCTTTTCTTTATTGTCTCTGTCGGTCTGTTTTCTTTTCCCTTTTTTATGAGGAGGGAATAAATATATAATTGTTGTATTCTCAGCTTACATCGATATAATTATAAAAGCATTTTAACTTTAGCTTGAGAATATGATTATACAAGGAAAAATTGGATTTTGAAAGGATAGAAAATTATAGGACAAAGAAGTATCATAGGAAAATATAGGAAAAAAAGGAAAGGGGTTTCGTCGTTTCAAAAATCGACAAAAATTATGATTTAAATTCAGTATGCAGATTGATTAACATAATAAAAACTAGCATTAAGCAGATTTCCGAATTGAAATGATGTATTTTTGACTGAGCTATAGGTTTTTTAAACTTATGATTTGTTGAAGAAATGATCATATTAAGATATCGATATATATTTATTCAAATTATGGATTACTTCTTTTTTATTTAACATATTAATGCGGTTCCTATTGATTTTTTTTGGACCTAGAAGCCTGAGCCTGCAATTAAGTTGGATCGATGTTTCATTTTCTAATCTGCACCGACAAATCAAAGCACTTAATGAGTCGCATCCAGGGAAGGGAGCACATAAACCATGAGCCATTCCCGTTCCCATTTCCAATCCCAATTCCCCTTTTCAAAATGCCACTGAAGCCACCTTTGTGGTGCCGAAAAGTATGCATTACTCTGGCTTCTCTGATATGTGTGTGTGTGTGTGTCTGTGTCCTTAGATTGTGTTGACGTGTGTGTGTGCAGATGTGTATGCTCCTGTGATTTATCCCCCGCTCTTGTGTATGTATCTGTGTGGTATATGTTAATGTGTACATGTCTTGTGCAATTAGTGATACATAGCTGTAAAGCACACACGCACACTAGAGCACTTTTCTTGGCTTTTATCGCTTTTTGGTTGAAGGTGTGTGGGGTGGTAAGGGGGGTTTTTGATGGCACACCCCTAATGAACTAATACACAGGCATTATTTATGCCTCCCCATACACACACACACACGCATAGTGATTAGCTGCTAAGTGCACTGCTCCCTCCCACTCTCCGTTGCTCACCTCCTTTTAATGAATGCGTGCATATATCACAGTTGACAAGATTGGGCAGCCACCCTCAGCCACCCTGGAATGGGATGAGCAATGGGTTTTTTGGGGGGCTGGAATTTGAATTTCCAAGGTGGGAGGTTGAGTGCGAATCCCCAGGATGCGATCCCCAGGACAGGACATGGGACAACACTTCTGCAATCGAGGGCAAACAAAAGGCGATTGATTTCGTGTTGATGACAAGCTGATGCCACACGCAACAGCTGCTTCAGGGTTTGGGTTTTACTACAAACACTGAACGAAAATCACACGTAAATTACCAGAGATTTCAAATCAACATTAAATAGGCAAAAAAGTAGGCAACAAAAACTTAAACTAAATAGTTTTCCATCCTGTTTCATCTTTATATTTCTCTAAACAATTAAAAGATTTGAAATTCAATCAAACCTTATACATACATTTGATGATCTTTGACCTATATTTTCTGCTCTGTAATCGGACATCTCTCCCTTATGCGGACAAACGGAAACAACAGAGTAACGGACATACGGACACACGGACAGGACACGCGTTCCTGCCTGAGTGTTCCTGTCTGACAGCTGACATTTGTCAAACGCTTAACGAAATTTGTCGCTCGTGTTCCATTTCACATTCCCCGTTCCCATACCATTCCAATTCGCTGCGTTCCATTTGCGTTTTGCCTAATGCCAGCCTCCAGAATTGTGGCCAAAATATTGGCTCTGAATTTGGGTTAGGACAGATCTCCAAGAGAGTGAGGGAGAGTCAGTTTTTGGGGGGGATTCTGGACTACTTTTATGCAAATCACTTGACAAACTGTCACCGCCATTGCCACCGATGCCACCGCTGCCGATGAGTGACAGTTGTTGTATAAACAGGGAAACCGGGGGGGTTTTTTGGAGAAGGACTAGAGAGAATCCGGGGGTCGAGTTGTGATGACAAATGCATGTGTTGACAAAACGGACGGAGGCCAGAACTTGGGAATTTTGATTTATAGTCCAATGTGCATAATTAATGTGCAAATGATAGGCATACATCAAAGTCCACACACGCACACACACACACACATGCTGACACGCACGCCCACGCACACCAATAAGTAAATGCACTGGCAAAAAATTAGGAGCGCAATTAAATTTCTAGAAAGTTTCCTTAGGAAAAGTTGATTAAATTAAAAATTGACATTGAAAACATTAATATATATATTTTTTGTTATTAAATTTATTTATTTGCCATATTTATTTCACACTTAAATGCTTTACATTTATATAAATATTTATTTTAATATATATGAATTTATACATATTTATTAGCTACAAAAACTCAATTAAATTATCACCCTAATACCTAACTAAAAGTTATCAAAACTTTAATTACAGTCAATTATTTTTGCACAATTGCAAGTACTAAGTAATCCGCATGCCTAAATAGTTAGATATTAGATATTAGTCAAACCCTTTTCGCCCAGTGTAAGAGTGAGGACAAAAACGCCACACAAAAGTGGGCGACAACTCATTTGATTGCTCTTCTGTCAAAAAAGAAATCCATACATATTTTGATTGCCTGCTTATTTCCATCTATTTTTCCCCGTATATTTTCCTAACCCCCAACCAAATACGAATACCGTAGAGCGTGGACTCGGACGTGGGATCCCTGAATATGAATTCCACGGAGAACGAGGTGCCCGAGGTGGAGTCCTCCAGCGAAATACTAATCGATGACCACAAGCCCAGTCACTCCAACGACGAGAGCTGGACGGATGTCAACCTCAACGAGGATGCCGCTGTCCAGGCGGCCAGTGCCGGCATGGTGGTGGGTCTGGTGGATGGCGGCACCGATAAGCATGATTCCCATCTCACCCAGCAACAGCAGCAGCAGGCGGGGATTAACCAGCAGCAGCAGCAGCAGCAACAACAGCACTCGGTGCACTCGGAGCGTGGTGACAAACCGGATTCGGAGATATCCGTTGTGCGAGTACCCGATGGTTATGTGGCCAGCTCTGGAGGAGTCAACTCCTCCGGTCAGTCGCAGGGTGTGGTGGCCAATCAGAGACCTCGTCCCGAGGAGTTGCCCATGAAGGCGCCCGCCTTGGTGGCCCAACTGCCGCTGACGACGCCATCGCGTGAGGCAAGTCTCACCCAGAAACTGGAGGTGGCCCTGGGACCGGTGTGTCCTTTGCTACGCGAAATAATGGTGGACTTTGCTCCATTCCTCTCCAAGACTCTGGTCGGTTCACATGGCCAGGAATTGCTGATGGAGGGCAAAGGACTGACCACATTCAAGAACTCCCATTCCGTTGTGGAGCTGGTGATGTTGCTCTGCTCACAGGAGTGGCAGAATAGTCTGCAAAAGCACGCCGGCCTGGCCTTCATCGAGCTGATCAACGAGGGACGCCTGCTCTCGCATGCCATGAAGGATCACATTGTTCGTGTGGCCAATGAGGCAGAGTTCATCCTGAACCGAATGCGAGCAGATGATGTCCTTAAACATGCCGACTTTGAGTCACAGTGTGCTCAGACATTGCTGGAAAGGAGAGAGGAGGAGCGAATGTGTGATCACCTAATCACTGCAGCCAGGCGAAGGGATAATGTCATTGCCAGTCGGCTGCTGGAGAAGGTGCGGAACATTATGTGTAATCGACATGGCGCCTGGGGTGATTCCAGTTCCAGTTCAACCACAAGTGCCAGCGGCGGTGTCATTGTTGGTGCTGTGCAAAAGAGTCCCTACTGGAAGCTGGATGCCTGGGAGGATGATGCCCGACGGCGCAAGCGTATGGTGCAGAATCCCAGGGGCTCATCCCATCCGCAGGCCACACTGAAGGCGGCCCTAGAGAATGGAGGTCCCGAGGATGCCATCCTCCAGACACGCGATGAGTTCCATACACAAATTGCAGTCTCCCGTTCGCATCCCTCCTCGGGCCAGCACAATGGCGAACTGCTGGATGATGCTGAACTTTTGATTGAGGATAGAGAACTGGATTTGGATCTGACAGGACCCGTGAACATAAGCACCAAGGCCCGCTTGATAGCACCTGGACTGGTGGCCCCCGGCACTGTGTCCATTACCAGCACCGAGATGTTCTTCGAGGTGGATGAAGAGCATCCAGAGTTCCAGAAGATCGATGGTGAGGTACTCAAGTACTGCGATCATTTGCATGGCAAGTGGTATTTCTCGGAGGTGCGTGCCATCTTCTCGCGTCGCTATCTCCTGCAGAATGTGGCCCTGGAGATCTTTCTGGCCAGCCGGACGTCCATCCTGTTTGCCTTTCCCGATCAGCATACGGTGAAGAAGGTGATTAAGGCTTTGCCCCGCGTGGGCGTGGGCATCAAGTATGGAATTCCACAGACGCGACGCGCCTCGATGATGTCACCACGACAGCTGATGCGAAACTCGAACATGACCCAGAAATGGCAACGCCGCGAGATCAGCAACTTTGAGTATCTAATGTTCCTCAATACGATTGCGGGCAGGACATACAACGACCTCAATCAGTATCCCATTTTCCCCTGGGTGCTGACCAACTACGAGTCCAAGGATTTGGACCTCAGTCTGCCCTCCAACTACAGGGATCTATCGAAACCGATTGGAGCACTGAATCCCTCGAGGCGGGCCTACTTTGAGGAGCGATATGAGAGCTGGGACAGCGATACCATACCGCCTTTCCACTATGGCACCCACTACTCCACGGCGGCCTTCACCCTCAATTGGTTGGTGCGCGTGGAGCCCTTCACCACCATGTTCCTGGCCCTTCAGGGCGGCAAATTCGATTATCCGGACCGATTGTTTAGCTCTGTGTCCTTGTCATGGAAGAACTGCCAGCGGGATACATCTGATGTGAAAGAGTTGATACCGGAATGGTATTTCCTGCCCGAGATGTTCTACAATGCATCCAACTATCGGTTGGGTCACCGCGAAGATGGAGCTTTGGTGGATGACATTGAGCTGCCGCCATGGGCCAAGAGCCCGGAGGAGTTTGTCCGCATCAATAGGATGGCCCTCGAGTCGGAATTTGTATCCTGTCAGCTGCATCAGTGGATCGATTTGATCTTTGGCTACAAGCAACGCGGACCGGAGGCCATCAGGGCCACCAATGTGTTCTATTACCTCACCTACGAGGGCAGTGTGGATCTCGATGGTGTCCTGGATCCCGTAATGCGAGAGGCTGTCGAGAATCAGATTCGTAACTTTGGCCAGACGCCCAGCCAGCTGCTGATGGAACCACATCCGCCGCGCAGCTCAGCGATGCATTTGTCACCCATGATGTTTAGCGCCATGCCGGAGGATTTGTGCCAGATGCTCAAGTTCTATCAGAACTCACCGGTTATACACATTTCGGCCAATACGTATCCGCAGCTGTCCCTGCCCTCGGTGGTCACCGTGACGGCGGGTCATCAATTTGCGGTGAATCGCTGGAATTGCAACTACACCGCCTCCGTCCAGAGTCCCAGCTATGCGGAATCGCCACAATCGCCGGGCTCCAATCAGCCGCTGACCATTGATCCAGTGCTGGGTGAGTATCTATAGATTAATTGAATCTTTCCATGGGTTTCTTGAATGTTTTTTGTGTCTCTCTTGCAGCTGTTCATGGCACCAATAACAATAGCAATGCGGTGAGTCGCCGTCATTTGGGTGACAACTTCAGCCAGATGCTCAAGATTCGATCAAATTGTTTTGTGACCACTGTGGATAGCAGATTCCTGATTGCCTGCGGGTTCTGGGACAATAGTTTCAGGGTTTTTGCCACCGAAACGGGTAAGTTGGGAGGTTTAATCCAGAGGGGAATCCATCAAACTTAAAGTCTCTCTTTAATTACAGCAAAAATTGTGCAAATTGTATTCGGTCACTTCGGTGTGGTGACCTGCATGGCCCGTTCCGAGTGCAACATCACCTCGGATTGTTATATTGCCTCCGGATCGGCGGATTGCACAGTGCTCTTGTGGCACTGGAATGCCCGCACTCAGAGCATTGTGGGTGAGGGTGATGTGCCCACTCCGCGAGCCACCTTGACGGGTCACGAACAGGCGGTGACTTCGGTGGTGATCAGTGCCGAGCTGGGACTGGTCGTTTCGGGATCATCAAGTGAGTGAGAAGGAGAAGGAGGAGTTCCAGGAGGAGCAGCATTTACTAAAGGTTCCTGCTTGCCTTTTGTTTTTTTCTCCTTCATCTCCAGATGGACCCGTGCTGATTCACACCACCTTTGGGGACCTGCTGCGCTCACTGGATCCACCCGCGGAGTTCCATTCCCCGGAACTGATTACCATGTCACGGGAGGGCTTCATTGTCATCAACTACGACAAGGGTAATGTGGCAGCCTATACCATTAATGGCAAGAAACTGCGCCACGAGACGCACAACGACAATCTACAGGTGAGTTTTCCAACTCGATCTAGATAAAAAACATATTTTAAGAAGTAGAATGCAAGTACATTTATTTGTTTTATATGTATTAATATTCCTTTTTAATTTGTTTTTTTTAATTTTTTACAGTGCATGCTGCTTTCGCGGGATGGTGAATACCTGATGACAGCCGGCGATCGCGGCATCGTGGAGGTGTGGCGCACCTTCAACCTAGCACCACTTTATGCCTTCCCCGCCTGCAATGCGGGCATCCGGTCTTTGGCCCTCACCCATGATCAAAAGTAAGTCGAAATTTAATCAATATTTATCTTTATTTTTATATTACAATTTTTGTTAACAAAGCAAAGCTTAAAAATCGCATAACCAAGCCAAAAATGCATTAAATTTAAATCGGGCAGCGGTTCTGTGTTAGTTTTTCTACGTTTAATAAATCTGCATACTCCATTAAAATTCTTCAAAAATTTAAAGTTTTTGAAAATTTTAACGATGTAACCCCTTTAAAAATTTTGAAAAAATTAGTAAATTTTTTTTCTACTAAAAAATAGCTAGAAAGATTCCCCTATTGATGCTAATCAAGAATATATATGATTTATAGGGTCGGAAATGACTCCTTCACTTTCTTTTAAGCTTCAGACTGAAGGTGCAACCCCATTTTTTAATCGATATTAACTATATTTTTATATTCAAATTTTACGACAAATCAAAATTTAAAAAATCCACAACTCAGTCAAAACAGCGTTAATTTTAATTCGGAAAACGGTCGTATGTTCATTTTTAGCAGGTTAATAAAACTGCATTCTTCATTTTAAATGTTAATTTTTGGCAGATTTTTGCAAATTTTCATGATGTAACCCCTTCCTTTTTAAAAAAAAATGGAAAATTTCTGAAAAAATTATTTCTTGGCCGGAGATAGCTAGAAATATTTCCCTGTTGATGCTGATCAAAAATATATATGATTTATAGGGTCGGAAATAATTCCTTTACTTAGTTTTAAGCTACTGACTGAAATTAGAATACTTTGCAAGGGTACAAAATCGTTAATAGGCATTCTCAGAAGTTTTGTTTAGAGCCTCAGAAAGTGTACTTTTTTTAGTTTGTTTTCAAGATCTTAGCATGATTTCTACCCAGTTCTAACCCCTTGATATATCAAAACTTAACAGATATCTGTTGGCTGGTCTCTCGACGGGTTCGATCATCGTGTTCCATATCGACTTTAACCGCTGGCACCACGAGTACCAGCAGCGCTACTAAGTCGCAAGAACATAAGCCCAACATTCCAACAAAAAAAGAAATGAACACATAAAAAAACCAAGACAACTACACGCCAGTTAACAGAGGCCAGAATACACCGGAAACGGAAATGAAAATATAAATGCAAACGAAAAAGGATCGCAAACCACTACAATGTACTTAACAAAGCGATGACGCAGGATCAAAATGTGGATCGGTTTTTTTCTATAGACCTTTACAACTTTAGGCTAGTAAGCGAACCTATGTTTTTTTTTTTTTGTCTAGTAATAATTGTGCATTAGTGTGTGTTTTGGCCGGAAAAGCCAGTCGCAAAAGTAAAAACAAAAAGCAAGCAAGCAAAAAAAAAAAAACATGTGAAAAACAAAACAAAAAACAGAAGAACGGAACGGGAGAGACACATTTTTTTACTAGTATTACGAACTGTATGTTAAGTTATGGCAAATGAAGGATGGAAGCGAAGTTAGAAAGGATCAAAGGATAAAAGGATGAAAGGAAAACCTACAACATATAAAAGGAAAAAATTATGAGAAAAGGAGAAAGGAATGCGGAGCAGCGGAATGGCGGCTTAAGTAAGTAGTTGAAATAAGACAAATGAAGTTAGTGTTTATAAAACGCAATAAGCAGTAAATAATTAAAGCTAATAATTCCACATGCATTATAATACCAACGTAGCAAAAGTTCTCTTAAAAACAAAAACAAAACACAAAAATAAACTAAAACTAAAACTAAAACCTTAAACAATGAAAATAATGAAACTAAAGCGGCCAAAAAAATGAATACAAAGAATAATGAGAGTAGAAAAGCAGAAGCCAATTTTTAATTATATAGCGTTAGATCTTTGTGACAAAAATACACACACACAACACAACACACACACACACAACCAAGATAACAAAGCAAAGACAATGCCAAGGCAATAAAGCTGACAGAAGTAGAAAGAGAGAGAGAGAGGCAGGAAACCGGAAGCGGAAGCGGCAATGGAACAGGAAGCGAAAGTGAAGCGATAAGGGATATTTTAATACACACACACAAGCATATGTATTTGTAGCTAAACGAAAACACAGAAAATTATCAACACAAGCTAAGAGCCGCAAAATAATAAATAATAAATAAATAACAAATAAATAAGTAAATAACTAAATCAACTAAATAAATAATATAATAAATAACTAAATAAATATAAATAATAAATATATATATTATACAATATATATATTATATATAGCATATATATCTTGCATTGCAATGAATGCAAAATATGCAAAACTTATCCAACCGAAAAGGCAGCGATTTCGTTTCTCGTTTCTTCTTGCTCGTTCCGCAAATATCACGCATACGCCATGCTGCACCGCCCGCTAATTTCAAACGAGAGCAAACAAAAAACAAGCAAACGCGATAACAAACAAAAGCGAAAGGAAAGCTGAAAATAAAAAAACAAAATATTTAAATAAAAAAATACAAAAATCTATATACATATATATAGCACAATTCATGTGTTCTATATATATATTTTTTGTTCTTTGTATCCAGTTCACTTGTTTTGTGTGTGTCTGTTTTTTCTTTTTTTTTTTCTTAGCTATATTTGTTAGTGAAGTGAGAAAATTGTTCGATTGCGTCCAAAATTAGCCTACTACCAATGCATTTCCCATTTCCCTTGAGAAAGATAGAGAGAGCGAGAGAAATAAAAAGCTAAATTGGCTTCCTTAAAACGTCCAGGATGAAGTGTTGTATCTTCTTTTTTTATATATACATATATATATACATATTGAGCCTAGTCCTAAATCCTTTCTCTGGTTGTCTGGAAGACTTCATTTTGTTTCGGTTTTTATTTGTCTCAAGCAAACAACAAACAATCCATCCGAAGATTAGATTTGTATATAGCATATACACAGATGCGACGAGAGCTAAAGCAATTACTATTACCAATACTTCAAGTATATAGATTTATGGCTTAAATGAAACGAAAATGAAAGACATTCGGTTGTAATAAACAAACAAACAAGAAAACATTCAAATTCAAGTTGAAAGTCCAGCGGAAAAAGCCCTCCCCCCAAATGTATTTGGAACCTGCAGATATAGATATCATATAGATATATATATATATATATGTTGTGTCTAGTCCGATTTTTTTTGATTAATTTCCTTAATACTTTGTGGTCTTGTATATGTGTGTGTCACGAGTGTAAGAGTGTGCGTGCCTGTGTGTAAGTTATTAATTAAGCTTAAGTTTTCAATGCTAAACACGCTTAAATCCCCCAATTTTTGGATTTTTAGCCTAAACAAAACATTTGATAATAATAATACCAGCTTTGTTCCATTCTTCTTTTTGTTTTGTTTGTTGCGTCTACGAGTTAATTAAATAATGAAAGTAACGTGAAAATAAATTACAACTATTAGTAATTTAAATGTTGTACATAAATCTATATGAGGAGAACTATCCTAAAAAGTAAAAGTATTTTTAAACAAATGATTCACGGAGCCTAAGCGAAAATAGGTAATAGTAAACGGTAAGCCGGAAAAAAGAAGGAAAGTGCGAGAAAAGTGCGGAAAAGTAATTGAAATCAAATCAAATTTAAAAAGGAAAAGCGCTGAGCTGCAACTACAACACACACACTCACATCTCTCTCATTTTTTTTTTTTGTACCACACACTGCTGTGTGTATATATACACACACGTATCTGAATATGATACGATAAAGTTTAGCTATTAACAGATGAATGAATAAATACAATGATTATTATAACAACAATTGCGAGCGCCAACAATTTTTAATTACGCACTTTTTATAGAAATTAGCAGAGAGAGAGAGAGAAAGAAAAGCGAAAAGTTGAAAGGTTAAATCGGAATGAAAGTCGTAACGTATTAAAACATAAATATAAATATAAATAAATTACAGAATGTTTTTATTAACGAAAACAAACAAACAACAACAAACAAATGGCTGACAATTTTAAATTTATACACAAAAGAGAAAACTTCAAGAAGGAAAAAAGTTAAAGTAAAGCAAAAAACAAAATGCAACAAAAAAATAAGAGAAAAAAAATGGAAATGAATGAAAATATTTAAGAATTTACTTATGCACGGGCAAGAATTATTTCATATAATTATTTACACCAGCGGATGAAGGCATTTTAAAGAAAAGAAACAAAAAACCTAGTGAATAAAACTTAAAATTGCAGACGAAACTTAGAAGCAAAGTTAAAGCTAAAGCACACACTTCACACACACACAACATACACACACTGGACACTGGACACTGACAAAGGTAATATCTAATCGAAATATATATATAGATATACATATGTATATATATTTTGTCAACATTGTTAAATAGCAGACTAACAAAAGCAAACAAAACGAGAGCCAAAATCTGTGCGGGCGTTAAAGACAACAATTTAATCTATTCTAAAATAGCAACAAAGGCCAAGCAAAAGGGCAACAAATTACGAAATGCAACACATACACATAAAAACATACAAAAATTCATAAAAAACAAACAAAAAACATAAAACAAAATACAAAATACATCAAGACATAAAAAGCTACGAGATAAATGTTCATTAATATGGCTAAACAAAAACACAATTTATATATATATATATATATATATATATATATATATATAGCATATATATATACAAAACTATTGTTTTTTTTTACATTGCATAAAGTTGATAAAGGCAGGCAGCAAATGTAACACATTAAATAATAAACAAAAAAGGCGGCCGATGATAAAATGGATAAAATGTTTAATGGCATGAAACAGAAAGGTTAGCTAGCGCGGGTTCGAAAGGGCAAACAATTTATGCATATTAAAATTAAATTTAAAATACGCTACAATTCTAACAAAATAAGTTTACACACACACACCCCCAAAAAAACAGAAAAAAATAATAATAATAATAATTAAACTTGCATGAGGTCGCCGTGGAGGTGACATTTTGAAATTAAATTTAAGCTACAAATTTAACAAGCGAAAGTGAGCGAGCATTAAAAGTAACAACAAAAACAAAAAACAAACTTAACAAACAACAAATTATTATGTTCAATAAAGAAAAACAAAATGCAAAAACAAAAAGAGTAACAAATACAAAATAAAACCAAACAAAAACAATGAAATCTTACAAAAAAAAAAAATGCAGAGTTTTGTTATAATACTTTTTGGTGGTGGGTCTTAAAATCAATTCATCTTGACTAAATCCTCTTTCAGCTGTGACCTGATTTTGGTTCTGAACAAAAAAAAAAAAAGAAAACTATAAACTATAAACTATAAAAGAAAAGCGAACTGAAAAACCGTGTGAAGAAGGAGGCGGCTGCTTTTCTGCTGGCTTGCAATAATTTCATTTTCCCAACAATTGAACAGGCAAAATGGAAATCCCACGCCGCTGCAGTGCACACTCAAAAAAAGGAGGAAAAGTAGAGAAAATAGGGGGAAAAATGGATAAGGAGAGGAGGGGCAGCCAGCGAGACAACAATTCCATGGGCTAAGCAATTAAAGCGCCTCGTTCGCGTTCCTTGGCTCCGTTTTTGCACGCTCCAATTGCGTTTCCAGTTGCAAATGCAAAAGGCTTTGCAAAAAGATACAAGGAAAGCAGGGGAAAAGTTGGGGAAATGCTGGGGAAATGCTGTGAAAGGTGAGTGCAGAACCCTAAGGACACCGAGGCGGTGTCTAAACACCAAAAATGCATCAAATTGCAGGCAACGAAGGCAGCGGGTGTTGTCATCAAAAGTCATATCTCTTTCATATTATTCCAGTGCCAGTGCCAGTGCCAGTGCCACTCTCTTCCCCCCGTCCCTTTCATCACTCTCCCCTTCTCCCTTCTGTTTTCTGTTTTCTGGAGCGTGTAATATCCGTTTCCTGCATTTCCGGTTGCAAGGCGACAAAAACAACAAGTGCAACAACAACGAAGTTGCAGCAGGGAGTTGCCTGAAAATTGCTAGCGGAAATGCTGCAAAATTAACGAGCAACGCGGTTAGCTAGGGTGGATTTTGGCGAGGAGCTGGAGTAGCTAGGGGAGCTACAGGAGCCGGATCAGGAACAGTAGGAGAAGGATTCAGGAGGTGGTGTAGAAGCCAGGTACAGGAGGCTTCCCCTTTTTTCTCTTTTGCAGATGAAGGTAGGATGAGGACCAACAGGAGCAACAGGAGGAGCAGCGACAGCCAAAGTAAATGCAAACAATTTTTTACCCACTGCCGGAGGTGTGCCAGCATTGTGGGTGTGCGGGGTAAGTGTATTTTCTCATACCCTAGGCAAGCTGTAGGTGTATACCATTTATTGAAATAATAACCAGAAATATATTTGTTTTTATTTGATTTATTCATCGTATATCCTTGTACTACAAGTACTTATAAGAATACCTTAAAATATATAACTTAACTTTAACTTATTACATATATTCTTATTTAAATTTCTTAAATTAATATCTCTTATATTATTATTATAAAATATTTTAAGGCTACTTTTCAGATAGTATTTAGGGATCTATCTCTAAGTTTTTTCTAGTCCTGCTCCTCTGCTTTCTTTTCCAGCTTAGCTACGCCTCACAAAATGCAAATTTTCACTTGTACCCGGTAAAGGTAAGGTAAATGTGGTGGATGTGGAGGAGTGATGGGCCGCCGTCCAGCTTGGCAGCAGCTGCAAATTAGACGCATCGCTTAACCAGCAATGACATAAAGCAGCCAAGTGGCAGCAACAGCGCTAACAACGTCCTGGAGTCATCGCCATCGTAGCCATCGTAGCCATCACCATCACCATCATCCTCCTCCTCGTCGTCATCATCATCGTCATCATCCTCTGTGCATCTCTGGGCTTAAATCAACACAAAAAGATGGAGAAAAAGCAAACTGAATTTGGCCAGAGATGCGGATGGAGATGGATATAGAGATAGAGCCATGGCTGCAGGTGGATTTACACTGAAATAAATAGGAAAAAAAGGAAGAGAGAAAGAAGAGGAATTTGATTAAGGATATAACATTTATTGCAAGGAATAGATATTATTTGTATCAGTTACTATGTATTATAAATATATGTTGATATTATGGTGATTTTATAAATAAATATAAATTGATGTATACAAATTTATAAGATATTTACGTATTTATTAGTATTATCTAACTTATATTTTCTTAAATAAAAACTATGTTTAGATAGAGATAGCTCCAAAGGTGAGTACAAACAATGAAAGCGAGATGGCAGACTCCAGTTGAGGGCAAATAAGGCATATAAAATTAATGAGCTCGTCACGTTTTGCGTATGGCCGACCGGTTCGGGGTCACCTTAATTATGGCCACAATTAACAGTTGCTGCCGCAAAGAGACAGAGATGGAGAGATACACAAACAGACAGAGAGAAAGATGGAGAGACAGGACAAGAGGAGGACACATTTCATTTGGCCGGCAGGTGTGCCAACTCATCTACCTTGCTTGCCACCGCTCTCTGTGTGTAATCTCATTACAAATTCAAATGCCCTGCATCAGCTGTGCTGGCAGGACGATGCCCCAAACCCCCAAAACCCCAATAGCACCCCTTTTGCCGATGTGGCCAGAAGCAGCAGCAGCAGCAGCAGCAGCATCAGAAGCATGAGCAGGAGCAGGAGTAGGAGCACTTCATGGTGTCCGCATCCGCATGGCAAATGTTTCAGACCACGTTGTCACTCAATTATGTGCCATGTGCGCAGACCGTAGCATACTTTTCAGCGCCCAGCCCTGCAGGGCCAGCCACAGCAGCACAAAAGGTGCGTTTGCCTCAAAAGGGACACAAGAGGGGAACACAAGCGGCTGAACAAGAGAGGAAAGCAAAGGAAGAGAAAGAGAGGGAGGTAGCAGCATAAAGAAAGCCACACACAGCGACACCTTGCTGACCAGGTGACATAAATTCAAAACGATTTCCTACGAGTGGCTACCGAAAAATACCAGTTACACGTTACCCGAGTTACCTGGCCATAAAGAGAGAGTCTTTGGGTGTGTGTGTGTGGAGCTTGAATTATATTCCCCATATAGCTAGTGCAGGACAAATAAAATTCTAAAAGTAGTGTATACATTTTCCATAAAATAGAAGGTATTTTGTCATGAACAATTAAATATTTACCACATTTTCATCATTCCGCTCTTGAGCAATAATTATTTGCTTATTTTAAGAATGATTTTTATGGATTCCTTAATTTAGAAATATAGATAGAGATACTTGGGCGTCCGTTAATTCAGCGCAGGGAAAAAGATTTTTAAAAATTCAAACTTGACGCTCAGTGAGTTAAACTTAAAGATCTCATAACTATGCACAAAATGCATTAATTTCAATTCGCAAACCTTTCCTGTGTTAGTTTCTTGTAGTTTAATAAATCTATCAATTAAAGTTTAAAAATATATGCAAATTTTCATGTTTTTGTTGTAATTTAAAAAATATTTTTTTTGTTTTTGTTGTTGTTGTTTTGTTGTTGTTGTTGTTGTTGTTGTTGTTGTTGTTGTAATGTGTGTAGTTGTTGTTGTTGTACCTACTGTGTAAATCGTGTGGTTGTGTGTTGCAAACCAAGCCTTCGATGTGCTCGATTTCGCTTAATTTTCGGCCTGAAATACCAGGCGAACAGAAGGCAGCAGCAAGCAAATTTAAATTTCTGCAAAATCATTTTTCATCCTACAAGTATGCTACACCGTGCCCCCAAAAGCATGCAATGCCAAAAATATGCAAAAGTTGGCAATTAAAAAAAGTGTAGCATTCTTCTAGGGTGCGGTGTAGCATACTTCTAGGGTGAAATGATTTTGCTGAAAATAAAATTTGCTTGCTGCTGCCTTCTGTTCGCCTGGTATTTCAGGCCGAAAATTAAGCGCAATCGAGCACATCGAAGGCTTGGTTTGCAACACACAACCACACGATTTACACAGTAGGTACAACAACAACAACTACACACATTACAACAACAACAACAACAACAACAACAAAACAACAACAACAACAACAACAACAACATAAAAGCAACAAAAACCCCAAAAACAAAAACAACAAGAGCTAGAACAACAATTTATATTTTAAAACAACAAAAAACGTTAAATATATTACTTTAACTGCCAAATTTAGATTCGAAGATTGTGCAGCTTCGCTCTGTCGGTTCAGCCAATATCTGTAGAAGCCATATAAAAAACGAAATTCTTTTAATAAACATTTTATTTGCCTTTGTTGTTTAAAATAAATACATTTATAAATTTGTTATCTTAAAACACGGTTCCTGCCAATATAAATAATATACATAATTGATTTATATAATATATAAAAATTCAATATAATCCTTGTCGTAATTCCTGTTCTGGACCTCGTCGTCGTTGAGATCTTCATTTGGAGCACATTGATGCACTGCCTCTGGAAGGAAAAGGAATAGGCTTAAGGAACACGTCAGGCAACATATCCTGGGAATATACTCACCACATTTTGCACCACACAGGATTACACGGCGCAAGGAGCACACACAAGACGGAATTTATCCTTAAGACATCCTTATGTACTTTTAATAATAAAAAGAAAAATAAATTTCAATACATATTTTTAGAAATATATTTTCATCAAGCAAATTTGTTATATGTGTGAGTTAATTTTGGGAAGGAGGAGAGGATACAGCTCGAGGAGCTGCCCCCCCACTTGCTCCTGGACATGCTCCTGAACCTGCCCCTGGACCTGCTCCGGACCTGCTCCTTGAGCTACCCCTCCACCTACTCCAGAACCTGCTCTGA